AATTACATTTTTATAAAATGTTTATGACATCATGTAAGCGCAACTGTATGTATGTGCTGATGTGTACGTAGATATTTTTATATACGTATGTGATCCTATTCTCTTCTATCTATAGCTTATATAGATAGATTCAATCAGGTATTCTATATGCAGTTTTGTATATAGAGAAATATAGACCTAACTTATTATTAGGATCAATTAGTAACATCTCAAAGCTAATACATTCCATTTAGAGAATCTGAAGTTTTTTGTGGTGCACGATGATAATATTTTTATGAACAGTTAGTAACACCGTAAATATAATATACTCCAATTAGAGAATCTGAAGTTTTTTGTGGTACTCGATAATTTTATTTTTACGAACAACTAGTAACAACGTGAACTTAATATATAACATTTAGAGATTCTGAAGCTTTTTGTTTGATGGGTGTGCCCGATGATTTTATTTTTGTAATCAATTAGTAACATCTGAAGTTTTTGGCTTAGGTGGCTGTGCTCGATGAGTTTGATACTAACTCCTCACAGTCAACCTGCACCTTATTTTCTTTATTGAGGTCAAATAAATTATTTCGTTTCGTTTCGTTTCGTTTTTTAATACATCTTTTATCGTATCAACGTTAACTGTTTTACAATGTGATTCAATGTGAAAACTGGTAGCCGAACTCTTGATTGGGTTTTATTAAATATTTTTAGCTTTTTAGTTTCTAAAAAATTTCTATATCATTAATGTTAATGCTACTTAAAAATCATAGCCTGAGTCTTTTAATATTCACTCACCAACAAACTTGTGGATTAAGATATTTTATTTATAGTTTGTGGAAGCGAAGTTTTACAAAATATTTAGTTTCAAATTTTAAAAGTATCGTGAGTCATAACATTCAAGCACTACTCCAAAACACATACTACAACATTGACACCGAGGTGCATTATATTTTCTAGACTGCTTTCAAAAAACTTCGTTAGATTTGAAATGATGATCGGAATGATAAAAAATTTTTTGAGTAAAATTGATTAAGTAAAAATTTTAAAAAAGAGAAACATCTAATTTAATTTTATGAAAATCTAATATTTATCATCACTGTCTTGCTTTTCTACTACTAGTGTGACAGATTTTTTTGTCCCTAAATCTTTCTTTTGTTCCTTTTTCAAAATCGAAGGTTTAGTGGTCAATTTCGAACGGACAGATGAGTGAAATTTGGATGAAGTTGCGGAAGTCTGAGTCTGGTGGGAAGTTGAAGTGGCGATTTTGGTCCTTTTTTCAGCTTTTTCCTTTGATGACACTGTTATAACTTTCCTTTTGCAATTGAAATTGAGACGATAATCTCAAAAAATTATGAAGAATACTTCAATATAGATCAAAATAAAAATAGGTTACAAAATGGCTTTACAAAATAATCGCAAAATAATATTTTTGGGTTAAAATTCTTGATACTCTGCTTAACTATAAAAAATTGTTTTAAAAGCAGAGCCCGAAACCGTTATGGTTTTCGGTTTCAGTTCGAAACACATTTCGATTCACATCTCAGTTAAAAATGTGCATGTAGTTTTAACTTTTCATATGTATCAGTATAATCCACTAATACCCATAATTTTCAAAAAAGTATGCACTGATAAATAACTAAAAAAATAAAATTATATTTATAAAAATTATGGTTTGAAAACATTTTAACTCATCAGAAATCTCTCTTAATTATTTTCGCCATACCTCTTGCGCAATATGATGACCAGTGTACCCATTAGGACGATTGTCAAGACCGGAGGTAGCAGAAACAACACCACTGTACCTTTTATGTGAAAATTTGCTTTTCTTATTTTCAGGTGAAAATGTTATTTGAAAACAAATGAAACCCTCTTTCTTTGTTGACGCTGGACCATAGTCTTTCGTTTTTTCTATTTGGATGGAAAATTTTGTTTATTACTGAGCAGACGCTGTAAGAGAAGTTTTTGTTAACAGTTGTGAACGATGGAACATTCTTAAAAATCTAAAACTTAACACTTAAACGCAAACGGGTCCATGATTACGTGCATGAATTGTTCAATGTGTGGTTGGAGTTCAATTTGTATTTGATCCTCCTAATGACAGCGCTATTGTTTATTAACATGACATGGCGAAATGAATACAGTTTTCAAGTATTTCACTGTTTTAATGAATAATTTATAACAGCTACCTATCAGGCACAATATGGTCACGTTTTTTGAGTTCATGAGCCATTTATCAGATGTCTTCCATGTTTTATTTCTTTCAAAATATAAGAAAGTGTTTTCTTTCGATTGTTCGCTATCAAAATTAGTCCATATCATAGTCGTATCTTGAAATGACATTTTTCAAAAATGCGCAACGATACAGAAATGATTTAAATTGAATAAAAGTATAGCTAATGATTGTCAAGAAATAAAAAATGAATACAGTTGAAAAACATGTACTACAAACTTTTCCTCAACCAGCTCCAAACGTGCTTCGTCGTACCAGTCCACGCGTTGACATCAATGTGAGACCGCGTTAGTTCGGAGTTATTTAAGATTTCAAAATGGTTGCTCTCCACAAAAGCAAACAGAGCCCCGTTCATACCGTGGCAAAAGTTTTGAGAATCGAACCAGTTACGAGCCTTTTCGTATATTATAAGACATTCGTTATCGAATTTGTGTATATAGACTTTAACGCTACTCTCCGATGAATTTGATGTTCGCTCGCGCAAATAATCTTCAACGAGTAGAATCAATTTAAATTTATCTGCGCGTGTCAAGCGGAGTTTAAAGAGGTTTTCGTCATTTAGTTTTTGCAGGTCAAACTTGAATTGTTGAGTGGCGATGTGACTGACCTTGTGCCAGTCGTGATTGGACGAGAAGCTGTTGATGTCGTTCAGATCCAGGTTCAGTGCCAGCAGGAACGTGTGGATGGTCCTGTTCAGTTCAAATAACCTTTCATCTGCGGTTGCATCATCGAGTATATTCGGTAACTTTTTTCCTAACTTCTGCTCGATTATCTCAGAATCGTTTGTTTGATTTTGAAAGTGACTTTCCAAATTATTAAGAAGTACTGTGCCTAATGTTTTAACTTTACCTATATTTATGAACAATGTTTTGAATTTTGACAAAATTCCTAATTTTTTTCTTATCAAGTTTACCTTTGTTATATTAATATTTTTCTTCATATAACTTGAATTCAATTTCAGAAAATTTTCGTTATAAATCGAAAAATTTTCCCTAATATTTCCACCGTTCCGTTTGTTCCTGATTATCAATCCGTCCCTTACGTTGTCGCACTCGTTAAAAGACTTGGGAAACATGCACATGATCTGGTTCCTCGCCGAGGCTGCAGTACTCTCAAATGTCCACAGATACCCGTGCTTGGTCAGCTGCAGGAAGTTCTCATTTTTCATGTCTGAAACTTGGAATCCAGCTGCCACACGGAATTGAGCTTGCAATTGTTAAATATTATAATTGAAAAAAATATAAAAATTGTAAAAATTTCTTCTTTCAACGAAGCAAAATTTTAAGTAATACCACAAAATAACTGTCGGATGAAATAGTTCAAAAAAAAGTACTTAAACTTTTGTTAGAATTTAAATCAAAAACCCCTTTTCAAACAAAATTATCAAAAAACGTTATCGTATTAGTAACTGTTGTTCGCAGAAAATGTCGAAAAACTAAAAAAAAATTAAGAACAATTTTTAAGAAGACCAACCCGGCGATCTATCGGAAAAAATGGAAGTCCATTGTTGCATCTGTTGAAAGATGGCATTCATCACAAAGAGATCCTGATGAATTTCTGTTCTCATCAAGTACTCATTGACTGCCTGTTGCAGTTTCTCGTCATAAACCTCCAGTAAAAAGGAACCCTTTTCGTTTTTAAAACAGTAGTTGTTGGCAGCTCTTACGTTCTCTACGTGCTGAGATTCAACGTTGACCGCGAAGATGCAGTAGTTCTCGTTCAAATTGCATTCTTCCGTATGCATGTCACTCATTGCTTGACCTGTTTAAAATGTTCAAAAATTATCAAATCGTTAAAAATTTGAATATTTCATGTGACCAACATTTACTACAATCTAGAGCTTTTGATTTTAAAATTCTAAACCCTTCATATAATCTAGGGTGGGCAAACTGTTTGCTGTGAGGGCCGCATTGAGAACTATCTTACCTTTGAAGGGCCGCATGTGTACTTAAATAGCAAATTTTTTCGACCTGGAGTAAAATTTTTCAAGATTTGTGGCTCCTTTTTTGGTCATACTGTCTAACAGCTGACGATCACTTTTATGGCGAACAAGGCCTCTCGGGCCGCATGCGGTCTGCGGGCCGTAATTTGCCCACCCCCGATGTAATCAATTAGTGAATGAATAAATGAATGAATGAATTAATTAATTAATTAATTATCAGCCAAAAGATTCATTTGGTGAAATTGATTTTTTGTATTTGTTTGTGGATACCATTAAAAGAGGTTATTTCATACATCTAAATTTACATATTTAATTACTTTGTGTTTTGTTAAAAATTGAATTACCTTTGTGAGATGTTACGAATAATAATATTACAAGCTGAGACATGTTTGTTTACAAGGATAAAAAAGTTTTTTAATTTTACTCTTAACGTCATTCCTTGGTGAGTTATATTTTTAAATCCAGACATAATGAAGTTTAAAAAACTAATTTATCATTGAACAAGTGTGATTTATATTCTTTTCAATGTTCTATTCTTTTCATCAAACAATAATCATGATTCATTTCAGTATTTTCAACAGTTTTTACGAGATTTAACGTCCGGTCATCTGATAAACTATTTGTTTCACTAACCCTAACCCTACCCACACCAACCCTCACAACTGTTTCGACCTCCGTGACCCGTTTGACCTTTCCAACCTTCTTGACCCTTTTGCCCTTGTGATCTTTTGGCTATTTTGAGGTTTTACCAAAGAATTTTGACTTGTTTGGTGGGAATTTCTTGTTTCGTGTGTTGTTCCGCGATCTACAAACTCATGTCCTCCTCGCTCTGATTATCTGTTGTCTTCTGTTGTCACCATCACACTTCCAGTAACTACAAATTTTGTTATAAAACATGGGATGTGTTAGCTTAGAGTGACATTATTTCAGCAATTTCTGTCAGCTTACTTGTTTTTTTACTTTTATAATTGTCTTCACAGCAAAACTTTAGTTTGTTTTTAATTTCTTTATAGATATTTGATACGAGCGTGTAAAATAACGAGTGCATGCGTTGGTTAACACAAATTAAAATTTTTTTTATATTATTTGCTTTAAGTTTTAAAAAGTAAAGTTTCAAAGACAACAAACCAGGACTTCGTTAGAAGGGGAACGCAAAAACAGAAACACGCGCAGACTAGCGTTGAGATAACGACAATGGCTGAAAATCATTTAAATTAAGCATTTAACTGTTTTAATGATTAATTTGAGAAAAAAATTACATAACCCCCTACCTACAGTTTGTGATTCCGATGGTTCTGGAGGTTTTTTAACTGGCCTCGCTTTTTCTTCAAACATTGAAAATCATAGAAATCATATTTTTAAAATACCAACTTAACAAAGTTGTGAACGTTTCGTACATGTTCGTTTGGGAAATTTAATGGGGTTTGATATGCTTCAACCTACCAACCAACCAACCAACCAACCAACCAACCAACCAACCAACCAACCAACCAACCAACCAACCAACCAACCAACCAACCAACCAACCAACCAACCAACCAACCAACCAACCAACCAACCAACCAACCAACCAACCAACCAACCAACCAACCAACCAACCAACCAACCAACCAACCAACCAACCAACCAACCAACCACCAACCAGCCAGCCAGCCAGCCAGCCAGCCAGCCAGCCAGCCAGCCAGCCAGCCAGCCAGCCAACCAACCAATCAACCAACCAACCAGCCAGTCAGCCAGCCAACCAACCAGCCAGCCAGCCAATCAACCAACCAACCAATCAATCAATCAATCTTGGTCATTTATATAGCGCCATTTGCAAAATTTCTTGCTGCAGCGTTTAAACGTATTACAAACACATTTGGCACACATACGAAGTTACGCATTGTTCTTTGCGTTAGACCGAGCCCTCTATCACTACCGCTATTTCGCCATATTTATTAATGTTCATTCTTTGAGCAGACATGCAGATGATGAAAAAATTTTTCGGTTGGTAAATCTGGCTCAGCTTCCACTCATCGGATGAATATTGAAGTAGAGATAGTTTTGGTTGCTTGAGAGGCTGAAGTTTTTCATATTCATCCAAGATATGTATGTGCCTGAAATTTTTGACCAAAGTTCAAATAACATTTATAATAAATGAGATTTTACATTTAAATTTTTAATAAGTAGTAATTTACCTCAAATGTCGACAATAAATTTGTTAATTTTTAAATTGAAACGTACTGCGTATGTATAAAAACTTGAAAATTATCTTCAGTGAATTTATTTTTGGTCGAGCCTTTGTGATTCCAGGTCCAGAGTTGTCTGGTCAGACCCAGCCACATGCTGAAGTTTACGGTGTTGTTCAACAGAAGATCCCCACTCATCAAATCAATCTCTTCATCAACCGACATGTGAACCAAGTTGCCTTCGAACTTATCACACAAATTCATCGCTTCGAACCAAGTTGTAACCTTCTGATACACCACGTAACATTGACTTGTGTTGCTGTACAGCGAGTTTATTACTAAGTTGCCATCCTTATCGTAAGCTGGTTTGTTGAACGCCCGCATCATTTTTTCACCATACTTGTCGCTAGAATTACGGGAGCTCGGTAAGTTGATCAGTAATACAATTCCGTGCTGGAGCAACGGTCTGCAGTGGGAAGTGGAGATGTGGTAAGAGCAGAATGGGTGGGCGAGGTGTGATGGATTTCGTGGGACCAGTTGGAATGTTCTGTTCACGTTGTTATGAAGGGTCATGCAGTATGACGTGTCGGTGACGTCATCGTTCTCCTTCTCGTATTTAATTTTGTCGACAGATTTAAACTGATGAACGGCTGTTTGTGCACGCAAAATATGTATATATATTTGTATCAAAACTTTTAATTTTTTTTCTTCATCGGAAAGTTCCCAAATATTTCCAAAATCGTTTTTTTTGGTAAATATAACAGTTTTAAGAAATAATTTAAGCAAACTAAAAAGTAATTTCTCAAAGATTCACACAAATTCAACAAATCCAATTTCAGACAGCTAAGAAGCCCCAACTAACTTGCAGGCGAGTGCGTATTAACAGACCACTATTGGGAGCTCAGAAAATATTTGGCATTCATCAGGAAGAGATCACCGACACGATCAATCTGAAATTCACTCAAAAACTCTCTCACGCCTTGCTCAAACATCGGGTTGTAGATTTCGAGTTTAAAAACTTTCCCCAATGAAACTACACCCCCATGCGTCATTTTTTTCATCTATTGTTAGGTTTTCCGTCGTGACGTTAGTTACTATGGCGAAACAAAAGCTGGAATAATCAAAACAGGTCATGTTGTTCTGGGTCAGGGGGGAGGATTTCTGTTATGCTATCTCTAACACCAGTTGGCTCGCTAGGGATGAAACTTTTGAAATTTCAATTTAAATTTATTTTCGTTTTGGTTATTTATTTGTTATTTTGAGTTAATTAAATTGTTTTCTGTTGTATGTGAAATTTTGGTTGGAAGATTTTTTTTTCCTATAATTCGAATTTTTACTCAAGTAAAAATTGTTATTGTTCTGAATATTAAGGTTTAAATATTATCATCCCATTATCATCACATACGATTAACGCAACACACACACACACACACACGCACACACAAGCACGCACACACACACACGCACACGTGACACACACACACACATTAAAAATCAAAAAATTATCAAGTTTAATTCGCCGAGATCAAAATCAAAAAAAACTTCACACCTACTAATAATGATCGCGGTCATTCTTTATTCAGAATTAAAATTAACGAAAATTTTAACAAAAATTTATAAAATATAACAATTAAATCAGTATTACATCTCTCCGAGTGTTTACATATTATGATATGTAAACATAGAACACACAGTTTGTATTTTGTAGAAGTTGGAAAATATTTGAAGCTTTAAATCCAGAAAAAAATCAATTCTAACTTGAGTATAAAAACTACTTGTGTGTGTGTGTGTGTGTGTGTGTGTGTGTGTGTATGTGTACATTACATGTTTTATTACATTGTATGTACATGATTCTTTCAACCACATGTGACAAATTCAACATTTAAAGAATGTTAATTCTTCCCATCAGTCATCCAAACATCTGCCAACTGATTTTTTAAGTGAGCAAACAATTGAAACAATTGATACGATAAAATTTATAAAGTATTTGATGCACACACACATAAGCACACACACACATACATGAACACACACACACACAAGCACACACACATACATGAACACACACACTCGCATACACATACACAGACAGACGTTCATGCACTTTTTTGGACATAATTATATATTGTATATTAGTAGTATGAAACATACATACAACACACACACACACACACACACACACACACACACACACACACATGTATAAACAAAGAGACACAGGTTCGCATATTTTTGGTGGAAGAATACACACAAACACACACACACACAAACACACACACACACACACACACACACACACACACACACATATATATATATATATATATATATATATATATATATATGACACATACTTGACATTCAGATAAACCTTATAATTAGCGTGATTGCATATTGCGATTGCTTTCACACACGTGTCTTAACATGTGGGAAGGTATTTGTCGTTGTGCTATTGTTGTCGTTGTTGTTGTGTATGTGTGTGTGTATGTGAGAGTGGTGTGTGTGTGTGTGTGTTTGTCGTAATTTTCTCCTTAGTGCTATGCGTGTGCTTATTTGTTGTGTGTTGTGTTATGAAGTTTGTTTTTTTGCGGTCTTTGTATGTCTGTTTTTGTTGTGTGTTGTTTTATAAGTTGTTTGTTTGTTTGTTTGTGCCAGAGAGCGTTGAATAACTTAGAAATCATTAAAGTTACGAGACTACTTTAAATAATTTGGAACCTCCACAAACAATTTGAAACTTCCAGGGTTTTCACATTCCGGTTCTCTGTGTTTCGAAGTTGTTCACTTGATTTTATTTAGTATCATCATTCAACATTTCCTCAAATGCAACATCTTCTATAACAGCAACAAGAATTTTAACAGCACCAATAACAAAAACATCAATAACTACCCCGTAACCAATAAAAAAACTTCAGTTAAAACAATGACATCATCAACAACATCAACAAACTAAAACATCAACTTCAATTACAAAAATGACATCATCGACAAACCCCAACAACAACATCAATAACAAAAATGACATCATCAACAACATCAACAAACCACAACAACAACATCAATTACAAAAATGACATCATCAACAACATCGTCAAACGACAACAACAACAAACAAACATCTGCCAATTACATTCCTGGTGTAGGTTCCCACAAAACGAGATATCATTCATTCATCTTCATCGCCATCATCTGTCGCTTCTGTTGTTTTTTGTTACAGTTGTATTGAGACTATTGTTGTTTTGTGTGTGTATGTTTTGTTGTGTGTGTGTGTTGTGTGTGTGTTTTGTGTGTGTGTGTGTGTGTAGAATTTTTGTTTAAATAGGCGACAAATGAACAGATAGCTGGCAGGTCGGCAATTTTATTTATTTGTACCGTTATTCAACTTGCTAATGCAATAGTATTGGATAGTTAATTAATTAATTAATTAATAAGTAATTATTAGTATAATAGATTAATTAATTAAGTAATTATTAGTATAATAGATTAATGAGTAATAGTTTCTGTAATAATGTGTAATCTTTTGTAATTTTCCATTGAGGAGATTTTTCCCATTCAAGTTTAATTTTAAATGATTTTTCAGTCGAGTGTTTTTAAATGTTTTAATGCAACATTGTTATCAGTTAAGTTAAAACACTTTGTTTGTAGCTAACTGTCTAGAAACTGATACCACCATCATCATCATCGCTATTCGAAACATGTACGTGTTATATTTTTATGATAGCATTATGTGTTTGTTTGGGTGTGTGTGTGTGTATGTATGTATGTATGTGTGTGTGTATGTATGTATGTATGTGTGTGTATTTGTGTGGTGTATGTATGTGTGTGGTGTATGTGTTTGCGTGTGTATGTTATATATTTATAATAGCATAATGTGTAAGTGAGTGTGTGTGTATGTGTGTGTGTATTTGTGTGTGATGTATGTGTCTGGTGTGTGTGTGTGTATTTGTATGTGTGTGTTACTAATCCTATTCGCTCATTATTGCTGGTTTTTTATTTAAAACAAACAAACTTGAGATGTACTTTTTGTTAACTCACATAGTAACTCACAATTTAGAACGCTTGCACTGCTTCCATTGGTTGTCCGAACAGCCAATGGGAGTGCGTTAAAAAATAATTTGTATCCAATCACACAATCACACACAAAAACGTCTCATGTGTGTCGATAAGTATTCCAGCGAATTATGTTTGATAGAAGGTTTGAATTTTATAATTAATCATAAAAAAAAACATCGAACGGTAATAAAGTTACTAACAATTAACTTTAATTGAGTGAGAACTATCAGATGATAATGACCATGGTAATGGTAATAATAATAATGATGATGATGATAGTAGTGATGATGATAGTAGTGATGACGACGACGATATTAGTGATGATAATGATGATAATAGTGATTTTTATTTTTGAAAAGTTTTATTTACAAAAGTAAAAAGGTTCATCCTAGCAATAAAATTTATGTATGGCCTCATGAACATGATGATGACGATAATGCTGTTGATGATGATTGTGATGATGATGATGATAATGATGGTGATAATAGTGATGATGACGATAATAGTGATGATGACGATAATGTTGATGATGATGATGGTTATCACAGTGTAGAGTTGGTAGTTATTAATCGATAATAATCGATCGTTAGCTGGCCGTTGAAATATAGGTTTCAATTCAACACACCTATGTCCTTAATCTTAATGATGTGATGTTGATTGTGTTGTCTTTGAGGATGATAATCATGATGATGATGATGATTGTTATTATGATTGTGATTAGAATAATGATGATGATGGCGATGACGACGATGATGATGATGATGACGATGATGAAAAGGATGATGATGACGATGATGATGGTGATAGTGATGATGATTATGACGATGTTGATAATAATTTGTTGGTAAGATTTTTGAAAATACGATTGATATTCAATATTCAAATTTTTGTATCTTTGAAAATTTTCAAAAATTAATGAATTGAAAACCAGCTTTGGTTGTGTGAATGTTTCTCATATGTGTGCAGTGTACTATTCAGAACACATGTGTTTGTTATACATGTGTCTGTTGTACATGTGCTAACAGTTGTGAAATAAAACGTAAAAATCTGTATTAATTTTATTATAAAATTTCAAAAAATTTTATTAAAAGAATTTTTGATCGATTATTCGTTTCTAACAGTATGTGGCCATCATCGATTCTTATCGATTCGAATAGGTTGCTACCGGTTTAAATTTATTGCGTGTCGGTAAGTTTGTAACGTTTAAGACACACAACAAATAAATAAAATAAAATAAATGAATAATAAAATATAATGCCGCATTGTAGTTTTACAATATTTTAGCATTAACTGGTGAAATGCGACGAGAAAATTCAAACTAGATTTAAAAAAAAGTTTGAAAATAGATAAAAAAAAACGAAATAATGAATTTAAATTAAAAAAAAACAGGAAAAAAGACGTCAAAAAATGAAATTGAAACTCTCAATTCTCCAAAAATTCCCATTAAATTTTTGAACTACGTACTGCTAACCTGCCAAAAGTTCAGTAACGCACAGTTAAAATCAATAACATCCATAAATGTTAAGTTCAGAAAGTATCTAAAACATTCATCTAATTGTTATAATATTAATTATAATTGAATACTTAGGAAAAAATATTATTTGTTATAAATAATTTTGGTGATGTTATAAATTGTAATCACTCCAATTAACGGACACATGTTGGCATTATAACAACAGTCAGTCGATAACCGACCAATAACTGCCATCCCTGCTTTCTAATCATCTTCCTCGCCATCTGATAGTTCTCACTCAATTAAAGTTTACTGCTACTAAAGTTATAACAACTTTTATTACCGCGTCAAAGTTTTATATTGAGGTCGTCATCGATAAATTGATTTTATCGATGATGACTTTGTTGCTGTCGGAATGTTATAACACCTTAACTGATGTTCGCCATGGCGAACAAAGGTTATTAGCTCCTAAGTGGTGGCCAATAATATCTTTCCAGCAATATCTCTCTCGCACACACACACACAAACACACAAATTATTATCTGAACACCTGCCAATAAATTCAAGAGTTCAGCAAGAAGGTATATAAAGAGGGGCTCAGTCAGTTGGATCATTTAAATTTCAAATCAAATACAATTATTGAACGATAGCTGACCACCACTATACTAAATAAATGAAACAGTTTTAAAAAAGTTCAGGCTCTGAGATTTAATCAATATAAATATTTATTTTAAATATTTGATGAATTAAAATTGACATAAAAAGCTTATTTTAAAATATTTTAAATCTTCAAAAAAAAAAACAACTGAACAGTGAAACAAACAACGCTTAAAACAGAATTGCAGATTGTTGGTTAATAATTTGTTGAGAAATAACTTTTAGTTTATAAATTTGCAGGTTCAAGTATGAAGCCAAGAATAAACTTCGAGAATATGAACACCACCACCACTAACAGCAACACAAACAACAACAACACAAACAACAACAACACAAACAACAACAACACAAACAACAACAACACAAACAACAACAACACAAACAACAGCAACATAAACAACAACAACACCAGCACACAAGACAGCGGCTACTTGGAAAGCAGTCCAACAACGTTGAAGAATGAGAAGAGGAAGATGAGGAAGGTGGTGGTGGAGAGATTGAGGAGGGAGAGGATAGATAGGTGCCTCCAACAACTCCAGGACATCCTCATCCAATCAAATTCTCCTCCTACACAATCATCATCATCTCTTTCAACCGGAAGTCACCTTGAGAAGGCAGACATCTTGGAAAAGACGGTAGATCACGTGAGAGATCTGGAGCGGAAGTTGCATGAAGGGGTGAGCAGAGGTTACCAGGCTTGCATGCAACAAGTTCATGCGTACATGCAACTACATCGTCCAACTCAAACTGATAATGGTGATGATCTAATTTCATTCCTTCATCAAAATATGGACTCTGCTCTTCACTCACTCAATGGATCTTACAAACAAATGAAAAACACGGACAGCGACTGCAATATCGTTCATGGTGGCCCTGCAGACGGCGTTCCTCAGTCGTCAACATCCGCCACCACCAACACTCACCAACACATTTGGAAGGAAGCAACAACAAACAGCAACGCGTTGACATCAATGAACTTTCCACCACACAACAACATTCTAAACAACAACACGTCTGCAAACTCTTCCGACAACTACAAAAATGTAAAAGACAATTCATTTGTAAACAACACTAACAACAACAACAACTGCAGTATCAACAACAAGTTAAACAACAAAATCTGCATAAAGAAGACGTCGACCACCTCACACATTAAATCGGCAAGATCTTCCACCCATCCATACAACGCCTCACTAAAACAACATCAGCAACAACATCATCATCAACAACATCAACAACAACAACATCATCATCAACAACATCAATTCGTTAAACGACATCAACAACAAACGTTCGATCAACAACTACACATGCAACAAATCAGCCAACAACAGCACCAACCCCACCAACAACAGCAACAGTTCAACCAAGAACTAGCAGAGCAAGACAACTACAACCAATATTTGGCCTCTTGTTTACCATTGACTCTCTTATCAACATCATCATCATCATCTTCATCATCATCTTCATCATCATCTTCATCATCATCATCACCCAATGTCTCTTCATTATCATCATCAACATCGTCACCATCATCAGTAGCTAAACTCGTTCACTCAACTCCGTTTCAAAACATGCCAGCATCATCATCCCAAATTTTAACACATCTATCATCATTATCTTCATTGCAAACATCGTTATCATCATCAGCAGCAGCACAAAAAACATCCTCATCATCATCATCATTCAATCAAATATCGCCCATCCAACCCACCCATATCATGGCATCCTTAAAATACGATGACGACGATGATGAAGATGGTGACATTATAGTTGATGTCGATGATAACCATGATAACATTGGCTGTGTTGACGAACAACGAACTGGAAATAACACGAAACAGGACAAACATGTCTGGAGGCCATTTTGAATGACGTCACATAATATTTTTTTTATTCGCAATTTTTTCCAATTCTTCAATTGTAAATTAATTTTCATTTTTTTTATTGTTTAGATAATTATAGGTTTTTGTTTCTATAGTAATTTCCATGCAAATGTATATGATTGTATTTACTTTGTATGTAATTGTATATAATTGTATGTGATTTGTGTGCATTGTATATAATTGTATGTACTTTGTATGCAATTGTATATAATTGTTTGTACTTTGTATGCAATTGTATATAATAAATTTATTTAAACATATTTACTGTGAAAATATTTTTCTCTTCTTGTATCATTCCTTTTTGAATATATATTAATATTTCAGTTATATATGCTTGTGTGTTTTACTGTAAATATGTGTGTGTAACTGTATTTGTATGTGTGGTGTGTGTGTGTACGAGTGTGTATGTGTGTGTGTGTGTGTACGAGTGTGTGTGTGTGTGTTGTTTGTATATTCACATATATTAAAGTTTGGTTAAAATAAACATGCTTCGCACAAAAATTATTTTCATTAATTACGTCACACGTTGGAGTACGTAGAGATTGCAGATAGAATAGCGTTTACAAATACGAAGATTTGAAATAATTTCAGAAAAAAATTTTGTTTAATTTACTTCATATTTATATTTATTATATATTTTATTTATTTTGTTTAATTTTTACAATTCTTCTTTCAATATTTTTAGAGTAATAAAATATTCAATATTTAAAGAATAATATAAAAAAAATATTTTTATTGGCATCGACAAAAAACACATTCAAAAACATGTGCAACAACGAATTTTGCACAAAGCATATGTTGACGGCGATCTTCATGCGATCGAATCCGGTAATTGCGAAAGAAGCGCCAGGCACTTTACCGCTAAACCAGTATGCAGCCAAGAAATACTCTAAATACGAATTTCAATTTGGAGTTTAACATTTTTATTCGTGAAACCGATATAAATGTAGATAAAAATGTAAATATAAATAACCGATATTGTAATGTAGTAACAACGATGTAACTTTATAATACATAGAAAACATTTTTTTTTAAATTTTAAAAATAAACTTTATATAAAATCTAAAGGTGAAAGAAATATCAGAATGCAAGTTATTCACATTAAAAGAAATTGAAAAAAAAATTTTAAATATTTACAAATAAAAATAAAACCAATAATTATTAACAATTGATTATAATAAAAATGATTTAAAGTGCAAAATTTGTCATATTTAAAATTATAAAATCACAATTTTTAAAAAATTTCGTGACGTCATTCAAAATGGCCTCCAGACAAATTTATCCAGTTTCGTGTTGTGTCCAGTTTGTTGTTTGCAAATACCACCAACATCATCGTCGTCGTCATCATTATCAACTACAATGTCACCATCTTCATCATCGTCATCATACTTTAATGACGTAATGATATGTATCGGTTGGATGGGTGATATTTGATTGAATGGTGATAATGTTTTTTGTGATGATAATGATGATAATGATGGATGTGTTAAAATTTGGGATGATGATGATGATGATGCTGGCATGTTTTGAAACGGAGTTGAGTGAACGAGTTTAGCTACTGATGATGATGGTGACGATGTTGATGATGATAATGAAGAGACATTGGGTGATGATGATGAAGATGATGATGAAAATGATGATGATGTTGATAAGAGAGTCAATGGTAAACAAGAGGCCAAATATTGGTTGTAGTTGTCTTGCTCTGCTAGTTCTTGGTTGAACTGTTGCTGTTGTTGGTGGGGTTGGTGCTGTTGTTGGCTGATTTGTTGCATGTGTAGTTGTTGATCGAATGTTTGTTGTTGATGTCGTTTAACGAATTGATGTTGTTGATGATGATGTTGTTGTTGTTGATGTTGTTGATGATGATGTTGTTGCTGATGTTGTTTTAGTGAGGCGTTGTATGGATGGGTGGAAGATCTTGCCGATTTGATGTGTGAGGTGGTCGACGTCTTCTTAATGCAGATTTTGTTGTTTAACTTGTTGTTGATACTGCAGTTGTTGTTGTTAGTGTTGTTTACAAATGAATTGTCTTTTACATTTTTGTAGTTGTCGGAAGAGTTTGCAGACGTGTTGTTGTTTAGAATGTTGTTGTGTGGTGGAAAGTTCATTGATGTCAACGCGTTGTTGTTTGTTGTTGCTTCCTTCCAAATGTGTTGGTGAGTGTTGGTGGTGGCGGATGTTGACGACTGAAGAACGCCGTCTTCAGGGCCACCATGAACGATATTGCAGTCGCTGTTCGTGTTTTTCATTTGTTTGTAAGATCCATTGAATGAGTGAAGAGCAGAGTCCATATTTTGATGAAGGAATGAAATTAGATCATCACCATTATCAGTTTGAGTTGGACGATGTAGTTGCATGTACGCATGAACTTGTTGCATGCAAGCCTGGTAACCTCTGCTCACCCCTTCATGCAACTTCCGCTCCAGATCTCTCACGTGATCTACCGTCTTTTCCAAGATGTCTGCCTTCTCAAGGTGACTTCCGGTTGAAAGAGATGATGATGATTGTGTAGGAGGAGGATTTGATTGGATGAGGATGTCCTGGAGTTGTTGGAGGCACCTATCTATCCTCTCCCTCCTCAATCTCTCCACCACCACCTTCCTCATCTTCCTCTTCTCATTCTTCAACGTTGTTGGACTGCTCTCCAAGTAGCCGCTGTCTTGTGTGCTGGAGTTGTTGTTGTTTGTGTTGTTGTTGTTTGTGTTGCTGTTAGTGGTGGTGGTGTTCATATTCTCAAAGTTTATTCTTGGCTTCATACTTGAACCTGCAAATTTATAAACTAAAAGTTATTTCTCAACAAATTATTAACCAACAATTCTGTTTTAAGCGTTGTTTGTTTCACTGTTCAGTTGTTTTTTTTTTGAAGATTTAAAATATTTTAAAATAAGCTTTTTATGTCAATTTTAATTCATCAAATATTTAAAATAAATATTTATATTGATTAAATCTCAGAGCCTGAACTTTTTTTAAAACTGTTTTATTTATTTAGTATAGTGGTGGTCAGCTATCGTTCAATAGTTGTATTTGATTTGAAATTTAAATGATCCAACTGACTGAGCCCCTCTTTATATACCTTCTTGCTGAACTCTTGAATTTATTGGCAGGTGTTTAGATAATAATGTGTGTGTTTGTGTGTGTGCAAGAAAGATATTGCTGAAAAGATATTATTGGCCACCACTTAGGGACTAATAATCTTTGTTGGCCATGGCGAACATCAGTTAAGGTGTTATAACATTCCGACCGCAACAAAGTCACCATCGATAAAATCAATTTATCGATGATGACCTCAATATAAAACTTTGACACGGAAATGAAAATTGTTATAACTTTAGTTGCAGTAAACTTTAATTGAGTGAGAACTATCAGATGGCGAGGAAGATGATTGGAAAGCAGGGATGGCAGTTATTGGTCGGTTATCGATCGGATATTGACTGTTGTTATAATACCGACATGTGTCCGTTAATTGGAGTGATTACAATTTATAACATCACCAAAATTAATTATAACAAATTATATTTTTTCCTAAGTATTCAATTATAATTAATATTATAATAATCAGATATCTTTTAAAATGTTCTACTAAAAGTCATTAATTTAAAATGAGGATGATGCTGTGTTATTTGTGATGATTTGTTGGTTATTGTGATAATTATTTGATGATCGTGATGAGGAAGAATCGTGTTGGGGAAATCTGTATTGAGATGAATTATTATTGCTCATCAGTGAACCCAAAGTTGAATATATCATTATTCAATCATTCGAACATGTGATCATAACTGAACTTCATCCAAGACACATGTCAGCCTAAGTATCATAATTATCAGTTGATAAAAAATTGATTTATTAGATAATTATTAGATAATTATAATTATTAGATAATTCTTTTGGCGTCTACTCAATTAAAATTTAATTACTCCACTTAATTAGTAATTAGTAATGTAGTTATTGATTGTTACTAGCCACGTGTCAATTAGTTATTGACAGTTTAACAAAAGGATGCAGGGTCACTCAGGAATATTGTGGCAGTTTAACGGAAAACTCCGTGTCAGAAACATTATAAAATTTGGCGGTTAGTGTACCTATATGTGTGTACGTGAAGTTCAACTGTTTTCGTTTGCCTTTAGAATTATTATTAAATTACTTTTACAATATTTTACCATTTGTTTCGGTTGAGAAACGAGACGAGGGTCACGGGGTTTGGGGTAAAATTTGGAACTGTTACACCCAATTCCTCATCATCTTCATCGTCATCATCATCGTCGTCGTCGTCCTCACCACCAAAAAGAACACATGTGTCTTGAAACCGATATTATAACAGAAGTCAATTATTATCGATCGATTATTATCATCGTCATCATTATGGTCATTATCATCACCATCATTATAATCATTACCATCATCATCATTATTATCACTCAATTGAAGTTTATTATTATTATTAACACTTTAATAGTTGGATATTGTTGACAAATTTTTTTTTGTGAATGTTTGCAGTCGTGTAAATTTTTTAGCATCATAATTAGCGCGTATAATCATAAAATTTAATTTCTATCTAGTTAATGTTGGTGTGATCAGATCAGAAGTAACTAAACTGGAAGTTATTGTAACTCGTCATCTGATTGGACAGATTGCTGAGTAAGCTAACTCTAACAAAGTTCATTATTTCATAAGTTCATATTCATTATAAGAGGTAATTATCCAATTAGGAACATTCATTCAACGACAGAACGTTATTAGCTTGCATAATTGGGTAAACACACGCACACACATATACGCACACACACGCACGCGTGACACACACTTAGACCTGATCATGTACCTGCAACAAAAACTTGGATTCAGCTAACCCAGTCAACAACATCAACAACTCAATCATTGTTATCGGCAACAAACTAGACACCATTCATAAATTCAACAACACCAACGAAAATAACAACAGCTACCAAAACAGCACAACTTCAAAAACACGCTGACAACAACAACAACATCAGCAATAACATTAAAATCATCAGTGACAACAACCATTGTTACAAAACCAACAACAAAAATGTGTCACAACGTTCATTAATGAAAGTTATCTCCCCTAATAGTGTAGACAACTATGCAGACGGCATCAACAAAGAAGGAAAGAAAATTATATCTAGACAACAACACAATAACATCAACAAGGTTTACAACAATGACAATAATAACATCAACTCATGTAGAAGAAGCAAGAAATCAACACGGTCGTGCAATGAATTAGCCAAGCTCTCAACACATCTATATAACAAAAGATCTCAAAAGAAGCAACATCACCCTAAACAACAACAACAACAGCAGCAGCAACAACAACAACAACAGTCACATCAACAACTACACTCGTTACATCAACACCAGTTACAGCAACAACCATGACAACAAAATCAACAACAACATCAATTACAACAACAACCACTAAATCAACAAGCAACTTATTAACAACAGCATCACCAACAATTCAATGGACATCAGCTACAGAACCCCAACGCCAAAAATTTTCAACCACATGTCCCTGTCATCATTGTTGTCACCATCAACACCATGTGTTTCATTTTCGCCAGTTTTATCTTTAAAACCCATTCATTTAGCACCATTTTGGATAAGATAAGATCACCACCATCATCGTCATCACTCAAATCATCACCATTGCAACCATTTACGTCATTATTTTCATCATCATCGTCAACACCATTCATCATCATTTCAATCATTATCATAATCACCACAGCTCATCATCATCATCATCATCATTATCATCGTCACTAGTACAATCATCATCGCCATCATCGTCGTCTTCATTGCCATTTTCAACATCACCAATTCAATCAAGCGGAATTGTTCCGCCATTTTAGTTTGAAAATATTAAAATTGCCAATTATGATAATGATGTTGATGATGATAATGATGTTGATGATGATGTTGATGATGATGTTGATGATGATGATGATATTAATGTTGTTGATGATGACGATGATGTTGATGATGATGTTGTTGTTGATAATGATGATGATGATATCAACATTGACGAAGAAGATGGCGATGATGATTATTGTTTTCGCAGTTTAAAATCTGCATGTGATATCCAGTAGGTGTGTGAAGAACGGAGGCCGTTTTGAATTTCACCATCATTTTGGGATCTTATTGTTCAAATTTTTCGAAACATTTCAAATAATTTTTTATTTTTTTAATATCTATTTTAATTTTTTTTACAGTTGTAAATAATAGCACATATGATATTTGTATATTTTCACAAAAACAAACACACACACAAATAAACACACTCACACAAACAAACAAACACTCACACAAACAAACAAACACACAGAAAAAGAAAGAGAGAGAGAAACAAAACATAACAGACACACACCTTCATAAAAATTTACACACACACACACATACACACACACACACACACACACACTCCCATTCATACGCATACTGACATATTAACCTACCCACACACACACACACACACACACACACACACACACACACACACACACTAAACAAACCCACACATACTAACACACACACACAAACATGCATATGTCATTCATTACATACACAATGACCACCTGTCCATAAATTCCACACCAGCCAATGGAGGAATATATAAAGACCGCTGTATTTTTGGTCACTCATTTTCTGTTAGGTGAACTCATTTTTCGTTTGGCCGTTATTTTGTATGTTGAAAGTGTTCTGGAAGAATTGTTTGATGTAGTAGCTGTTTTAAATAATGTCATTAACATTGTTATTTAATTGTTTTGTGAAAATTTAAAGTTCATACCAAAATTTTATATGGTGTATTCAGTCAATAAAATTCATCGCCAGAAGTTAATTTGTTTATTTTCAATATTATTGAACTTTTCAAAAGTTCAATTAGAAATTAATTTAATTTTAGACATTATACGATTGTAAAGAAGAAAAAAATTAATCTTTCTTCTTGGTTTGTCGGCTGAAATAGTTTGGATCATCAATAAACATCAAAAAACATGAAGCCAAAAATAAATTTTGAAAATTTGAACAACATCATCAACAACAACAACAGACACAACATTAATTACAACAACAACATCAATTACAATAACAACATCAATTACAACAACAACACACATGACAGCGGCTATCTTGAAAACAGTTCAACAACTTTGAAGAACGAGAAACGAAAGGTGAGTGGCGAATAAGTACATTCTTAACATTTTTTTAAAAACCCAATCAACCAGATTTAAATTAAACAATTAATTAGAGACAATTAATTAATAAATTAATTAATTAGAAACAAGTAAAACAAACTTTAATGATAAGTTTAACAAAAACTACTAAAAATTTTCACTCAAGCAGATGAGGAAGGTGGTGGTGGAGAGATTGAGGAGGGAGAGGATAGATAGGTGCCTCCAACAACTCCAGGACATTCTCATCCAATCAAATCCTCTTCCTACACAATCATCATCAACAACCGGAAGTCATCTTGAGAAGGCAGATATCTTGGAAAAGACTGTAGATCACGTGAGAGATCTGGAGCGGAAGTTGCATGAAGGGATGAGCAGAGGTTACCAGGCCTGCATGCAACAAGTTCATGCGTACATGCAACTACATCGTCGTCATCATCATCAACATCTTTATCATCCTCATCATCATCCAGCTCAGCCAAATGCAGATGGTCTAGATCCATTGATTATGTTTCTTCAAAAAAACATGAATTTTGCTCTCAGCTCACAATTTAACAGCCAGGAAAACAAAAATCTTAACGTTTATTTAAACCATTACGGTCATCAACATTTGAACGTCAGCGATTTATCTAGGAATATGAACAACAAAGAAAACTTTACAGACCCTAGCTTGGTTCCTAATTTCAACAAAACTAACAACATCATTTCAAACACCACAATAACTGCACCACCAACAAACAATAACATACCAGCCAACAACAACAACAACAAAAGCAACAACAACAACAACCTCATCTTGCATAACAACACTGCTGTTACCAACAACAACCACAAACTAAAGAATGTGACAAGCGTGTCTTCGTTGAACAATCGCAACTTAAATAGTTCTTCTCAAATTACCAACACTAACAACAACAACAACAACGGCAGCCGCCACAACAACAACAATGTTGAAACGATGCCTAACAACAGATGTTATAAGAATGTTGTCAACATTGAATGCAACATGTTCTCCAACATCAAGGTCACAAAGACGTTAAAATCTAATTCATGTTTCAACAATAAATCTGTTAAAAACACATCACATCCCTATAAATTTGCGTCATATCAACAACAGCACCAATATCATCATCATCAACATCTACAACAAGATCATTATCAGCACTGCTCTCAACATCTACGCCAGCAAGGAGAGAGACAAAACGACAACTGTAACTCTTATTTAGGCTCTTTCTTACCGTTGAAGTCATCATTATCATCACCAAAATCATCATCATCACCATCATTATCGAAATCACCATTAAAATTATCATCATCATCATCATCATCATTACCCGATGTTTCCTCGTCATCATTATCACCATCGTCACCACCATCATCATTATCATTGCTACATATCGTTCACTCAACTCCGTTTTCAGACATGCTAGCATCATTATCGTCATCTTCTTCTTCTTCGTCATCATCATCCTCATCATCATTGTTAATGTCATCATCATCATCATCACCGCCTCTGTCGTCACCATCATTATCATCGATACATCAAATTTCACCCATACAACCGGCCAACCATGGAACGAATGATGCTGTTACATCATTAACACATGAGGGTGAAGACGATGATGACGTAGATGTTGTTCGTGATAATGATGTTGATGGTGATGATGATGATGGTGATAAAATTGATGTTGATGGTGATGATGGTGATAAAATTGATGTTGATCGTAGTTTCTGTAAATCGGACGCTGGAAAAAACATGAAAGAGGAACAGGAAAACGTCTGGCGGCCATTTTGAAAATTTACACTATTTATGATCTTTTGTTTAAACTTTTTTTTGGAGGATTTTTGAAATTTTTTACATATTTTTAAAAATTACCAAAGTCACACATTTACGATTTCACGATGATTCTATATCATGTGCAAATTATAGACCTTTTTATATATTATGATTTTTAAATGTTTTATTTAAACATTTGATTTTGAATGTAAATTAAATGTAAATAAATATTATTTGTAATTAATTCTAAATTATTTATTCTTTCATTGTTGAAAATAAAAGCTAAAAAACAAATCAAACGTGTGTGTGTGTGGTCTCAATTTGCGCTCAACCAATCAAAATCGACAAACCATTCAAAATTAACATTTAACGGACGGGTCCATCTGAGATGTCGCATACTGATTGGCTCTTGAAACCTATCACGTAATCTTAATGTCAGCGAATCAAAGATGAGTTCAACTATTTTGAAATTTGTATATGGTGACAATACACTTGTTGCATACAATTTACAGTTAACGAAAGTTAGTCTAAATTAATGGTTAAATAAAGTGTGTGATTAGATGTGTTTATGTATGTTTGTTTGTTTGTATGTATGTGTGTATTTATGTATGTGAGTGTGTGTGTGTGTGATTATGTGCTGGTGTCGCGTCCAAGTTACAGGGTTTATGTTGTTACACACACAAAACAAACATTATATAATTTTATATAATAATAATTGTCCGTGATGATTTTACGTAATCATCATTAATATCATCATCACATATTATAACATTTATAATCAAAGCAGCTTTCATCATCATCATCGTCTTCATCATCATCATCATCACCATCATCATAGTCGTCGTCATCAAACAGAAATAACCAATCACGCAACAATGCCTACCTGCATGTTCGCTATGCGACTTTTCGACCGAGATGTCCCGGGTTCAAATGCCGACGTTGTCATCTCGCTGGCCGGCTTCTCTAATAAATAAACTACGTCCGGTCAGCTTGGGATGACGACAACGACGACGACGACGATGGTGGTAGTGATTATTATGATAATGATGATAATGATGATGATGATGATGATAATGATGATGATGGTGATGATGATGATGATGATGATGATGATGATGGTTGTGACTATGATGATGGTAAAGATGGCGGTACTGATGGCAATGATTAATACGATGATGATGATGATGATGGTGGTGATGATGGTGACGATCGCAACAGTAAAAAACACCACAAGCAGCTAAAATACATCGCACCCACAAAGTACAGTAACACAAACAACCAATAACACAAACCCATACTACCACAGAAACACCCACACATACAAACAAACATACAAACAAACAAACATACAAACAAACATACAAACAAACAACACAAACAAACACACAACTACATACACACGCATCCATCATTAAGTAAATGTCTCTTGTTGAACTAACAACTACACATACAAACAAACAAACATACAAACAACAACACAAACAAACGCACAAACAAACACACAAACAACTACATACACACGCATCCATCATTAAGTAAATGTCCCTTGTTAAAGCAAGTGAACCGCAGGTTAACGGCAAGTATGCGCAATGCTGTGTCCTGTACGATGATTGTGTGTGTGTGTTTGTGTGTGTGTGTTTGTGTGTGTATGTGTTTGTGTGTTTGTGTGTGTATGTGTTTGTGTGTGTTTGTGTTTGTGTGTGTTTGTGTGTGTTTGTGTGTGTGTGTGTGTGTATTACACAAAAAACAACAAAGCAACATATTGTAAAGAACACAGCAACAAACGCAACAAACAATAACAACACAGCAGCAAAAAACAACAAAGCAACATATTATCAACAACACAGCAACTAACACAACACACAACAACAACACAGCAACAAACAACAACAAAGCAACATATTATCAACAACACAGCAACAAACAAAACACACAACGACAACAACACAGAATCAAACAACAACAAAGCAACATATTTTCAACAACACAACAACAAACACAACAACACAATAAGAACCACATCTCAGCAAACAGCCACAAAAACAACAAGAATGTCAACTTTATAACTATTTTCAACTTCTCACCTCAATAATCTTCTGCATTGTGCTGCAAACTCCAGTGACCACACAGGTGCTAAGCAAAAATTGGTCAGAATAAATTGCATTTCTGTGTTGTTGTTGTTGTGTTCTTGTCGTTGTTGCGTAGTTGTAGTAGTAGTTGCTGTGTAGCTGTAGTAGTAGTAGTAGTAGTAATTGTTGTGTTGTTATTGTGTTTCAAAGTTGTTTTGAGGTTGTTGTTGTTGCAATTGCGTTTGTCGTTGCGGTTGTCATTGTTGTCGTTGTGGTAGTTTAGTTGTCGTTATGTTTATAAGCGCGTGTGCGTGAATGTGTTTTTGTTGCATCAATCACATTAATATGTTAATCTCTTTCATGTCCGTGATAAATTTAAAAGTAAACTACACCAACAAAAACACAGACACATAATTTAACACATAGAAACCATAAACACTCCACTTACAAACACACACACATACACAGTAAACCTTTACATAAGTACTATATAACATACCCGCACACACACACACATCCAAACAATCTCACACACACACACATCCAAACAATCTCACACACACCACACATATACACACCACACACACACACACACACACACACACACACACACACACACACACACACAGTCCTACATACAAACCACACACACGCACGCACACACATATCCAAACAATCTCAAACACACCACACGCGCACGCACACACACACACAGTCACACATACACACAGTGACACATACACACACATATACACACACAGTCACACACACACATACATACACACAGTCACACACACATACCACACCCTAATGACCAAACTATCCTTCCTTAGGCATTCGAAAGGTTTTGAACCGAAAACCTTTGTCACGAGTCACTTCAGTGTTTCTAATATGAACTTTCCTTTCACTCAACTCCTATCTCTCTCTCTCTCTCTCTCTCTCTCTCTCTTTCTCTCTCTCTCTCTCTCTCTCTCTATTCTTAGTTCTTCTCTTGAGATAGACTTGAGTTTGGTCATTTGGTCACATGCTTGCCATTCGTTTGCTTGTTTCTTTTTTCGTCCATATATTTTTTGTCAAAAGAATAAAACGCCTTTGTGTGTTAAGAAGTGTGTCTTTTTAGATGTACAATTTATCTATAATTCTATATTCACATAATCATACGTACAACCTTGAATTTTTCAAAAAAAAAAAAAAATTTTCATTCATTTATTCTTTCATTCATTCATCCAAAATTTAAAAAAAATCAAAAAATTAAACGAATGAAATTCTATGGAAAACTTCAATTCATTTGGAAAAATATGCCAAAAATTTGTATAAAATCTTCATCATCTTTGTCATAATCATCACCATCAATATCATCATCATCACCGTCATCATCATCATCGTCGTCATCATCATCATTATCATTATCCCATATAAAAAAATGTTATTTTTATGTATTATGCGCTTTGCTGAATATAACGAAGCTGCTAGTTAAATATGCAATCACGTAAACAACAGGGAGAGAGAGAGAAAGAGAAAGAGAGGAAGAAAGAGAGAAAGAGAGAGAGAGAGAGAGAGAGAGAGAGAGAGAGAGTGTTGCTCTCTTTAACACAATTCAAGCGTATTCATACGAAGACATATAGGTACAGAATCAGGCGTTATTTGCATAGCAAATGATAATAGGCATGGATCTCTTGACAGAGGTATCTTCAAACATCAGGTAAATAAAATGTACCATATATATGTATGTATTTGAAGTAATATTATTACAATCTCTACACTCTAATACGTGGAGTTTTTAAAAGTTAAAAAGATCATCTTGTACAAATTATCGGTAACTCTAAAGAAAATTTTGTAATACTAAATACTCAATAATTTGAAAAGTTGCTATGAAGAAAACGTTTAGAATAATTAAATTGAATACAAATTTAAGCACGCGCAATACACACACACACACGACACACACACACACACACATATCTACACACTCACTCACACACACACACACACACTTAAACGTTCAATAGATTTTTTAAGATGTTAAAGGTTATATTAAACATGAGAAAAACAACGGACCAACATTTACAAAGCTGGCTGATCATAAAAAATTTTCAGTTAGTTTTACTCTTTTATGGAATTTGGCAAAATGTTTGAAAATGGAATAAAATAAGAATAAAATAAAATAAATATAATATCAGTTTTAAATAAATTCACTTTAAAATGTTTAACGTCTTTTTCCAAATTATCAAAATATAGAAAATTTAAATTTCGACCTTTAGCGTTTAACTGTAGAGTACATTAAACCGGGCATAACTTCATACTTTTCTGTTCTTTTCAGCGTATTATCCGTCGGTATTCCGGTCGGTATACCGGTCGGTATATCGGTCGGTAGATCGGTTGATGTTTCGGTTGGATTTTCAAGGAAGTTGTAGTAATCAGCTTTGTTCTTTGATGCAGATGGCAAGTTGGATGCGATTTCAACGTACTTCATTTTGGCATTCGAGTTTGGGTAAATGCTTTTCGTCTGATGGCCTGATGGTACAACCTCGGCGTATTCTGGGTGACTGATGGGTGTTGGGTGGTGTAGTTGGTGTTGGGTGATTTTGGTGGTTGGCGTTGGGCTAAGTGGTGTTGGGCTTCTAATTTGAAATTTGTGTATGGTTGAAAATGCTAGGTGTTGGTTTTATGTGGTATGGATTATGTGTTTAATTTAAACATTTTTCATGATTTTTGATTTGGCATTTGGCTATTTATTTAGCGCTTTTTAGAGTAAACTTCTCGAAGAGATTGTAAAATACATTTTAGATTAAAAAAAATCTGAAAATATTACTGCGAAACTACAAATTTCTGATAAATTTGAATTAATTCTCATGAAAAATGAAATATACACAGACTATATCTTAAAAAACATTTTAAAAAGCAAAATAAAACTATTCTTACTGATTACTATAATAAGCAGTAGCGGCTTCATTGACCTCATCATACGTGTGGTAATCACCACTTCTCTCAGACTCTCTCATAGGCCTCGCGTAGTAAGCGTTACTACCAGCGTCATCGTCAGTGTTAGTATTATTAATACTATTAGTAGTAATTCCATTGCTGCCAGGAAGATGTTTTCTGCCTTTTCTAACACACAGTACTGAAAAGATGACGACGAAGACGATGAGAACCATACCTCCGACACCCACTGATATGCCAACTGCCATACCAATCACTGTCACATTATGTACGTACAGTGCGATTAATTTAATTAATATTTAGGTAATTTAATTAGTATTTAGGTAATATTTAACTGTTTAATTAGTAATTTGGTAAATATTATTATTATTATTAGTTGTAACTAATAACTGAACACTTTTAAACTTTAACAACACTAAAATGATACTTTAATAATAATCAATCAAAAAAAGGATTTTTTATTGATTAGTTCCATGGAAATTTTTAATAATAGTGCACCCACTAAACAAGTAGCCGGTTGGAAATAAATTTTAACTTTTGGCTAGGTTGTCTTTGGTTTTAATCATGTTCGTAAGGCTTATAGTAGGACATTATAATTAAATTCTATTTTATTATTGACGATAAACTAGTCAATTTCTAACTGCAAATGTCATCTGCTAAAAAAGTTATTTTAGAATAAAAATTTACCTCAATCCATATGAAAAAAGATTTTCCAGTCATTAATTAACCTGCTGGCTTATTAGGTGGGCTATTGCCGTCACTGAAGTTTATGTTTGCGTCAACAAGTGTAGGAGAATCTGTTACAGATCCTGGGTGGGCAAGTTTTTTTTCTAATTTTTTAAAATATTTTTCAGAAGTATCAAGAAAGGACACACGACGCATATAAATTCAAGCACTGCGTGTGACAGGCAGGGATCACCTTGCATTCGAACCCAGTCACTACGACATTACTGCCGGACAATTTAATTATTACACAACCGCGACACTCAAAAAAAGGTTGTTAGCTGGTATAAGCAACATTACTTATTTTAAAATTAAACGTAGCGAAAAATTGTTTCGGGTGTAGAAATCTTGTCAACGATTAATTGCTATTTTGGAAATAATGTTTATGAGTTATTTAGTTCTTTGAAAACAATCAAAATAGAAGTAGACGTTAACATGAGCCAAGTCAGACGAAATAATTTAAAAAAAATAAAATAGTGGCTTTTAAGAAATGTGTTTCTAACCATTCATGCAAATCACGTATGCTTGTGAACGGTTTTCATTTGACCATTTTAAATCTTCCCAATCTGCCACAACTAAGTCAAATGCCCAGGACGGCTGACTTGGTTGTGGGTTATTATCAGCCCAATTTGAATATATCAGACCTGTACATTGTTATAATTAATTTCATAAAAATTATTAATTTAAATGAAGGTTATTTAACAAAGGATTACTTTTAGACGATTTCCAAGTCCAGTATTGTCTGTAAAGATTAATCCAATATTGACCATCAGGTACATCCAAGTTTTTCAGGTCATTATTGATCACGTACAAATCTTTATTCTGCATTGAACAGTGATTTATAGCTTCGTACCATGTGAAATTTAATTGGACAACTTTTCCTTTTAAAACATTATGAAATGAATTATTTTCGCGCTATCTTTAAAGTTAATCAAAAATTCTCACCGTCGGAACATAGAAACCATAGCTTATAATAAGCATTCGCTCCCTTCAATCTTATTTGGGTTTCTTTTTTGATAAACTTCGCGTAATTGTAAGGAAAATTTTGGTTACTAAAGCTATAAGTCTGCTCGTCAATCGGGAGTTTTTCATTGTTATTTGTTAAAATGTTAAGATTATTAAATAATGTGTTTCCGCTATACCAGCTGTCATCTCCATCCTTACGCAAATTAAGTATGAATGGTAATTTTTCCTTTAAAGAGTTTGAAAACTGTGTCTTGAAGTCGTTCAGAATGGAGTTGACGAAAGCGTTGCGAATTTCTAGTAACGTCATATTAAAAGACCAACACATTTTGTCTACATCCGCGATTTGACTGCTCTCTATATCCGATTTAGTAGAATGATATTTGAGACAAATCATTTCATTTCTATCATTATCAGGAGGAAAACATCGAGACACGCCATCATCAGTGAAAGAACATTTAAAATTAATGAACGTCAACAGAATATACGGTACTATATTATTCATATTAAATATTTTCTCGATCAAAAAACTGTAAAAGAAAGAGAATATATATAATTATATATTTATAGAAGTTGAAAACTCAATATCGAAACTAAGCGATATGAATCGCTTAGAGTAAAATACCGAATTATAAACATACACACACGAAACTTTAGCAGACTTAAAGTTATAAATGCATACATACCTTCATTCTAATAGCTCAAGCGTTAGACAATGTCCCGGTGCTAAAACTGATGAATAAGCAAACTAAGGAAGGATGATTCAATGTAATAACGTCTGTTGATATATATTTATGTAGAATAATAAAATGTCACATACGTATACCTATGTGTGTGTGTTTGTGTGTTTTTTCATGTGATTGTATGTGTTTGTTTGTGTGTTGGTGTTCGTGTTTGTGTGTGCGTGTGGTGTGTATTTATAATAATAAAACATTATTAATGTTAATGTCAAATAATGCAAACAAACACCACATATATACAGACATACACGGATATATGTATGTATAATAACTTATAACAAATAATAATTAATAAAAAATTAATAAATAACGATAAATATGTGTTTAATAATTGGAATATTCCTTTATTTGTGCACGTGTGGATTTGAAAAAATCAACAAACTTAACTTTAATTTTCCGATTATAAGTTTGGCTAGGAGACAAGAGCGTATGTTGCCCATCCATTATATTCTAACACGGGAAATTTTGGTGTTAAACTAAAATGCTATAGGTCTATTCCTATCTTTAAATTTCATTGTAGACCACAAAATGTGCTATAGCTCAATTCCTATATTTAAATTCCATTATTGACCATAAAATGTGCTATAGTTCAATTCCTATCTTTAAATTTCATTGTGAGCCATGAAAAGGTTTTCAATTTTTGTTTTTTTCGTGAAAGAAAACTGTGCAGTTGTCGCAATTATGATTTTGTTTTTAATTTTTTGATATTCAAAAATAGTTAGGAATGTTACATTTTAGGCCATAGCAATTTCTGAATAATAGAAATTAGTTTGAGAATTTGTCACCATGAAATTAATAAATCGTATTATAACATAATTATTTTGGTTGTTAATGGGTTTATAGACTAGTAGAATACATTGCTTCTGATCTCAAAATGAATTTCGATTAGATATACTTTAAATCGCTCGAGTTTGCATATAAATTTTTAATTCACATTTTTATACCAGGTTTGACTTTGATTTTACTAAATAACCAAATTTAACTTGTAGGTTTTAATTTTTTATTTATAATGAACAAGCAATTGATTTATTTCTTCTGTTACGAAAAATTAAATACATATGATTAATTAAAATAATGTGCAATTTAAAAATAATAGATTATAAAGTATAATTTACATTTATTTATGTACACGCAAAAATGAAAAATAAAAATTAAATTGGACTTTCCAGTTTGCTGGTCAAATTAATTACACAGCGGCGTAAATCGTGCCCATGTCTTCAATGCAAATCGAAAAGTAACAAAATTTATCTCTTGTTGAGATGGGACATAATATCGCTATCGTAAACCGATTGCACAGCACCGTTTGTCGGAGCATTCGAACGAATATTCGGAGGATCGAGTTTGGAAACCGGTGAGTCCATGGTAGGGATGGCGTATTGTGGAAAAGATGGTGGTGTCGAAATCGGTGGCGGTGCTGGTAATGATGGAAATGGTGATGATAATATTCGCGGAGGTGGTGATGGTGATGATGACGAAGATAATGACGATCGTAATATTTTTTGTGATGATGGTTTTGGGGGTGTCAGTGACGATAGCGATGGAGAGAGTAGAAGTAGTTGGGAGCCGGTCGGTCGAAGACCAACTTCCTCACTGCAAGAAAATTATTTTCAAACGCATTCATTTATGTAATTTTTTATTTAACCACTCATTCATTCATTCATTCATTCATTCATTCATTCATTCATTCATTCATTCATTCATTCATTCATTCATTCATTCATTCATTCATTCATTCATTCATTCATTCATTCATTCATTCATTCATTCATTCATTCATTCATTCATTCATTCATTCATTCATTCATTCATTCATTCATTCATGCACACGTACCTATTTAGTTCGGAATAAATATGCTGGGCGGGATCATCAGTGAAGTTATTATCATAGGTCGGAATGGAGACCATAGACATTGTAGTAAGCGCGGATGGAGTTCGATTCTGCTGTTTTGTCATTGGTGACGATACTGCGATGGATTTCGTTGTGGCTGACGTGGGTTGAACTTCGTAAGGGCTGATGTCGTTGCTGCTGCTGCTGCTGTGTCGCTTACGACGCTGACGCGGAATGATGACGACGACGATGATGAAGACAACGATGATGATGGCAAGTAGAGGGAGGGAGATGCCTAATGCTATGTTCACTGTGTGTTTAATTATCATTATAACTAATATTGTTATTATGCAATTGTAGTAGTATAAATATTTTGTACAATAGTAGTAGTAGTTGTAGTAGTAGTAGAAGAAGTTGTAGTAGTAATAGTAATAGTAGTAGAAGAAGTAGTAGCAATAATGGTAGTAGTAGTGGTAGCAGTAGTAGTAGTACAAATATGAAAAAAAAACAAAAAAATATGGATTAAATTAATTACGTTTCAATTTTTCACCATCAGAATTTTTGGTGCTGAGTGTAACATTATCTTGGTTGCTATTATTGTTATTATTATTATTATTACTATTAATATTATTATTACTATTAATATTATTATTACTATTAATATTATTATTACTATTAATATTATTATTATTATTATTATTTGTAGTGGTTGTAGTACTAGTAGTAGTAATGTTATTATTTTTGCTCGGATCATTGTAGTCTGTTTCTGAAAGACAAAAATGAATAAATTAATCAATTTAATAAATGAATAAATTAATAAGTTAATACTATTAATTATATCTTAATTAACTCTCAGAGATGCTAGCAAGCAACACACACTGCGATAGCGAATCCACACACACACACACACACACACACACACACACACACACACACAACACACACAACACACACACACATACACACACACACACACACTAACACACCACACACACTAACACACACAAACACAACCACAAACCCACACAAACACAACACACACTCAGACACACATACAACACACACACAACACACCCAAACACACACACACACACACATTGCATGTGACAGACGTTCACCTGCCTAACAACTGGACTACCCGCTTCAACCATCCAAACATCAACCACCGCAAACATAAAATAACAGATGCAAGCAAAAAATAAGTTAATTTTTTAAAATAAAAAAAACTTTTGAATAAAAAATCAACTAAATAAATAAATAATGTATTAAACAAAATAAATAGCAATATAAATGAGGCGAACCATTGGCGCAGACCAGATAGTAATTGTAATATTTATTGTTGTTCCATAACAGAGTGTCAAAATAGGCTGAAACGTTTGTGTGACCGGAACTATCCGATACCAACTTCGGGTAGTCCTCTCGCCAATTCGAGTATCTTACTTTCGAGCCTTGAAATTGGAAAAATTATGATTTTATGATAACAATAATTACTGTTATTTATATTTAAGTAGCAATTTTCAACCGCCTACCGTAAAGATACAATGACATACCTCCATATATATACGGACATACAATACAATAAGATGCAATGCCATACCATACAATACAATACAATAAGATACAATGCCATACTATACAATACAATACAATAAGACACAATGCCATACAATACAATAAGATACAATGCCATACTATACAAAACAATAAAATACAATACCAGAGCTCTCCCAAGTCCAGTATTCTTTATAATGACCAATCCAGTACTGACCAACAGGTAGGTTTTTAAATTGCTCGCTTCGGCCAGTGCTACTGACAACAGTTAAGTCGGTATCTCTAAAGATGCAAAAATTTCTGGCAGAGTACCACGGCATTGGTTGCTCTATCGGAGTATCTGAGGTATAAAATATCTGGTACTTAATCGCTTAGATATTTTTTGAAGGTGTAACTATACAATCCTTAAAAATTTTATTTTCTGGGTCATTTTGAAGACTTTACAAAACGTCAGAGCATTTGTATAGATGAGATATGTAATTATCTGAATGTTTGTGTTAGAATTTTGTGTGTTGTTTTAATTATTTTGGTGCATAAGAATATTAAATTGAAATAGTTTAAATTGAAATAGTCTAAATTCAATATAAAATCGAAACTTGTGTACACATGTGACTACTGTTCAGATATTATAAAATACTTTTCGTAAGTACAATACAACTTTAAACTGTGTTTGAATGATTAAATGTACTACGTTGTGTTATGTTGTACAGATAAGCTACATGTTTGTCGTATCGTTTGTGGCCTTTATTGTCGTTGTTGTTGTTGTGGTTGTATGAAGAATTTTCAAGAATGATTCTTGCGTTATCCGTATGAACATTCGGCTTTTTACTAGTGCAACTTGCTTCGTTTTAACAGCCAGTTGGTTGACGAAACATCGTTATTATTATTAGTAGAAGTATTAGCAACAGTAGTAGTAGTAGTAGTAGCAGTAGTAGTAGTAGTAGTAGTACTAGTAGTAGCGGTGTCAGCAGTAGTAATAGTAGCAGTAGTAGTAATAGTTTCGGGTTAGATTGATTGATTAGAAATATCACGTCAGATCGACTGAAAACCATTTTCAAATTTTCACTAATCGAAAATTTCTCATTAGGAAAATCAGACATTCGATTACATACATATTTGTTTATATTCTTTGAAAAAATGATCAAAATGAAGTTATAATCTATAAAAAGTAATTATTAAAATAAATAATGATTTATTTTTAGAAGATTAAATAAGAGAAAAAAAATACTCGTACCATTATTTCCGCACAGGAATCGGTATTTATTCGTCGGTCTGTCTTCCAAAATTTCGAATTTATTCGGTCCGGTAACATTCAGGTAAGCATAACCGTAACCGTTAGAAGAATCGGAAGTCAGTGTCGTGCTGTCATCAACGGCAATCCATTTGCTGTCGGTATTTAGTTTTAAATTCAACAGGAATGTCAGTTTTTTATAGAATACCGATTTGAAATCATTAATGAATTTTTGAAAAATGACGAGTGTGGTATCATTTCTTAACTCGAGGAGGTATGAACCGGTCGGGCAAGCGAAGTCGGATTTTTGACGATCGTCGGCATCTAATATCTCGGTTATGTACGTGTAGCAGAGTTGAATATTGTCGGTATTGTTGTAACATCTCGAAGCAGAATAATCGCCAGAAACGTTTTTAAAAAATAAAATTATTATATTTAGTACTAATATTTTAAGTGATTTAACATTTCTCATCTTTAATTGGTTTGGTTTCAAAGTAATTAATTTTTAATTACTTATATAGTATAAAAATTATTATTCGTAATATTATTATAACATAATATAATTATTTGTTGTGAATATTATGTCAAATAAATAAATATGTTGGATTCCAATGGCTATAATTGTTGTTTGTTTTTGTTCACAGTCTCTAAGAAGCTTACCCATAGCACCAGTATTTGAAGTTCACATCTAATAAAAATAATAATAATAACAACAATAACAATAATTAGCATAACAATAACAGTAACAATAACAGCAACAATTTAAATCATAATTGAGACAGTAAAAGCCTGACAATGCCAAGTTCAATTAATAATAATAATAATAATATAACGTAATAGCAACAATAAAAATAAATAAGAACAACAATAACAACAACAATAACAACAACAACAATAATAATAATAAAAACTTGCAGCTTTAACAGCATGTAAAATTGAATGCTTGACGTAGAAGCTAGGCACTCAGTAACAAAAACAACAACAACAACAATTGTAGTGTTATTAGTATTACTATATGTAGTACTACAGCTGCCGCTGTCGCTACTGCTTCTGCTACCAATGCAACAACTACAACTACTATGACATTAATACTAGAATTAGTTTTCAACAGCACAAGTCATCATGAATCATAAAAAGAGCAGCATGAAATTTGCTTGTCAATGATCACATTAATTCCCCGAATAATCCTGATGAGTAATAATTATTTTGTTATTATTTATAAATTATTTGATCGTGCACACAGACACACGCACACACACACACACAGATACACGCACACACATACACACACGCACATACATACGCACGGATACATACACACACGTGCGCGCACAAACACAAATTAAATTAAATTTAATAAGGTGTTTATTCTTCAAAAAAACATAATTGCTGGGAAACCCGAATACAACAAATACACACAGACACACACAAACACACACACAAACAAACATACACATACGCAAACACACACACAAGCATACACACACACACATATATATATATACGAATAATAGGAGATATAAATTGATGAATCTTGCGTAATCTTGCTCATTGTCAGTTAGAACGATACTCAGTAGTCGTAATCAACAAAAACTGAGTGAGAGAGCTAGATGAGAGAGAGAGAGAGAGAGAGAGAGAGAGAGAGAGAGGAGAGAGAGAGAGAGAGTGAGAAAGAGAGATAGGTAGAAAAGTTGACAAAGAAAAAGAGAGAAAGCAATAAAGCATAGGCAGAGAGATGGTTAGAGAGAATAATGTATGAAAAGACTGATAAAAAAAAGAATAATAGTGAAACATAATATGGCAAAGTATGTGAGAAAGTGAGAAAAGAAAAGAGAGCGAAAGCAATAAAGTAAGAGAGAGAGAGAGAGAGAGAGAGAGAGAGAAAGAAAGAAAGAAAGAGAAAGAGAGAGACGGGTAAGAAAGAACAGAGGATTTTTTTAATGGCAATAACAGTGCATTTGATTTCAAACATACCTACGCACAAAGGGGAATTTTGAATTTACAATGTAGAAATTTTTTACATTTGTTGAATCACAAGATTTTGAGAAAGCTCATTATAAATAGATAATTTCAATATATTTATATTAAAAGATATATATTACTATACATTTTTAAGTGTACAAATGTAGCAGTGATGAATGAAATAATTTTCCTTCTCTAATTTAAATAACAATCAAAATCGTGTGTGTATTTATTTCCGTCGAGTCTTGCCGGCTTTAATTTTGGCAGTCAATCATCAACGAGACTGTCATTAAAGTGCCACCGTTTTGATGAATGGCTACCATCGGCCAGCTAGAGTTGATAAACAACTTAACGCCAAGTCTCTTGAGCAACCAAGATTGAGAAGTAGAAGATTCTCATCTGGAAGTTTATCGTTGCATACATCTCAAATTGCTTTTTTAGATCAATAATCCAATCTACCTATTCAATTACCCTAACTATTGATATCTTAAATATTTTAATGAGTATATGTTGTAAGGCTAGCCTAAATACCCCTTCAATCTCCATCCCTTGCACAGTGGACAACGGACAAGCACTGGGTACTTGGATCGGGTGTTATCTCAACCCTACCTAAACTAGTTATTGTGGAGACTTTAGTCTTAAAGTTTCTTTTTTAGCTAAGCTCATGAAAAAGAAAATAAGATAGGGCAGTCTCGGTAAAATTTAGTGATTCTCTACCATAGATATGTTCTTTACAATTGTTTGGAGTAACTTTGTACAGCGCTAAAAAAAAACAAGAAAAAAAACAACAGAACGCATTACCATGGCATTTAACTTCCGTTTTCAGCAGACGACAAATTTATAAATTTTGATTAAAGTTAAATTAAAATGAGTGAGGTTAGACTCAGATGTTACTTATTTATTTTTATTATGATAAGGATGCCAAATTATAAATTTAAACAAATTTTTTTCAGTTCAATTTTTTTTCTTCGTCTATACTTGGCTCGAGTTCGGATTCCGGAATTAGTGATTTTGAGTTGAGTTTCAATGGGTCATCTTACGAAAGTCTTGTGACTCCAGAAAAGATGTATGATTTTTAAATATTCATTAAAAAATTTCAAACTTTTCCTGTAAAATCATCTTCAGTTCATTTCTATGTGACTTTTTAGGTCAAAGATAATCACTTTCAAGGAAGTGTCAACACCAAGTATTCAGAACAACTCAGAGAATAATCTTTATAATGAGGTTGTATACTTGTATAGTACAGTGACTATACTATAGTCTATAGTTAAGTACATTCAAACAACTTTTCTATTCAATTAATTATTTGGGACTTAATTCAGTTTCAGAAACGTAAACTGGCAAGACCTGAGAAGCCCAGTCAAGAAAGTGAGTTACAGAACTTTGTAGCTTTTTTTTGTTCATCACAATACCCACACATCCTATTTAATTTATAAATGTATCTTTTTAAAATTAATATCTGATTTTCTGTAAGCTCCTCATGTCAAGCCTATGGAAAAGCAGCCAAGTGAGACTAAAGAAGAAAAAGCTGAAATGAGTAGAAGTGATGATCTGAAAAGAAAACGTACCAGTTTTTTAGTTTAATTATTTAGTGCTTATTTTTTGAAATTGTAATAATATTATTATATAATAGTAACATATTTGTTAATTGAAATTTTTTATTTATTCTAGTTCGAAAGACTTTAGAAGATCTTGTTGATAAAGTGGCTGACTTTGTTTCGTTAGTATTATGATATTATTATAAAATTAGTATTATAAAATGTATTTTCATTTTAATTTAAAATAAAGTTGTAATATTTTATTTGAAGAGAGGTGGAAAATTCAGAAATACGTGAAAGACTTGTGGCCTTGAGGGAGATTGAGAAGAAAGTTCAAACACTTCATGATAATTTGCTGAGAGAGAAAAATCAATTTAAGATGTGTGTTGAAAAACTCAGATCAACGCTCAATTAAAAAACATTAATTTTGCATTAGATATTCAAAATATTCGTGTAAAAAATTATTTATTGTACATCTTTTAATTTATGTGTTTCTAACAATTAACCTAACATTTTGAAATTTAATAAATTAACTTATTTGTTTAAATTCAAAATGAAAGTTTGATACATGACTTCTACACATTCATCTAAATAATAAACAAAGTTAATCAGAAAAAAGTTAAATAAAATAACAAAGATAAAATAAAGAACGGCTTTGAGAAACTAAAGTAAAAAAAATTACCTACAAAACAACACATATCACAAGTTTTGCACAGTTGAAAACATTGGCTCAAATTTTGTAACAGAATCTATTCTTTTACAGTTAAGTGATAATATTCCATATCATCTTTGCTTATCGTGGAAGGAGCTTGAGACATCAAACATTTTCCTTCACTTGATTTCGGGAAGGCGATGACGTCTCGTATTGACTGGGTGTTGCAGATGATTGACAGATATCTATCGACTCCTGTTTTGTAAATTTATGAAATTTTAGAAAATTAAAAAATATTCCAACTTCAGAAAGGGCTTATTCACTTCATTTATCGTAAAATATTAGACCAAAGGAATGATGACAAATTTTGATATACAAACTCAGTACAGCTGTTAAATTATAAACAAAATTTTTGCAGTAGTATTAGTGTAAATTTTGTAACTCAGTTTATCAAAAATGAGAATGAAAATTAAAGTCAAGACGAAAAAAATTGAGGTAAAAACCAAACTTACCAAGAGCTATGCCTCCATGTGGCGGACATCCTGAATTCAAAGCATCGATCAAATGTTGCAGAGGAGCGGCATCTTCCTGTATTGTGATGGTCAGTATCAGGCGTCAGTGGGTGGTGTAGTTTTGAAGAAGTTGTAATGTAAATGTGAAGAAAGTTGAACGTTTGTGATTTAAATTTGATCAGAAAGGAATGGTTTGAATTCATGATACAAAAAGCAATTAAATAAGGTTTACAAAGACGCTTTTTGGTTTAATATAGCATTTATTCATTGCATTTAAAAAACCTAATGAGACAACGTTAGAATGTAAATTTTAACAAAAAGAATTTTGCAATAAAAGTTTACTTTGAGAATATCTTGAAGCACATATTTTTGAAGATCAGCATTGTGTATCCTTATAGAGCCACCACCCACTTCTGCCCCGTTGAGAACCAAGTCATAGTGCAATCCCCTAGCCTTATAGTTAAACCATTAAATCACATTTTTTCAAGTAACAACCAGATGGGATGAATAAATAAAAATTATAAAAGTTCAATCGACAAAAATTCTAATTATGACGAAATTTGACCGATCAAATGTAAGAATAAAGTGAACTGACTGCTTCAGGGTTTGAATAGATGCAAGTCAAATCATCTGGATGAGGTGCTGTGAACGGATGATGAGCTGATTCAAGTCCTGCAAGTAATTTCATACAATTAAAAATCTCACTCAAGTATAAAATGATATAAAATTTTATAATTAATTTTAGACACAAGCTCGTTCTTAGAGTTTTGGAATTTAATATATGTTTGATTTTTTGAAATATGCGAAATATTACCGGATAAAAGCCACAAAAGGAACACCCAAAAAAATTTTGGCAACAATTAATAAAAACAAAATACACCTCCAGACCCATCTTCTTTTGGTAGAAACAAAGGAAAATTTTCAATCCATAGAAAATTCATGCTATCATCATCTTCGTACACTGAGATGCCTGTTGATGTTGTGATAAAAACATATTTAAAATTCGAAAATTTCTCAAAAATGAATAAAAATAAAATAATAAATAATAATAATGATAAATAAAAAACCTTTCTCCTTCAGTAACGACGCCATTTCTACTCTGAATTTCCCTGCTGTCAAACACTGGCGCAATGAAATAAAAACAAGTTCCGATTACAACATAACTACATAGACATCTATACCCAATGATTCAATTTAATAATTAAAAAAGAGTAAAATAAAATTTAAAAAAAAAGAAGGAACTGACGGCATTTCGATCGAGTCCTGCTGCAATGATGAATACGTCACCGGGGTTGAGCTGCAGCCTCTCTTCCAGTCTCTTGTAGGTTAGGTCGCCAATCATTTTGTGCAGGGTACCATGCCACGAGTTATCTTCTTTAATGCGAACGATAGCGAAAAACTGAGAACAAATTACATGACATAGTTAGAAATATAACAACGAAGCCATGATACTATGGTTTTAATTTCGAAATTATAAACAAAACGTGATTCACTAGTTTTGCTTCAAAAACCAAAAGACCAAAAGACACTCACTGCTCTATGCTTCTCATGAAAAGAAGACTTCAAAACTTTTGTCAAATATGAAACATCTTTATTACTCAGGTAAGGCTGAAATGCAACCAATTGAATAAAAAATTATTTATAAAAATGACTGAAAACTTATTAATGAGAAAAATTATTGAATAAACTTTTATAACTAATGAGCAACTGACAGAAACGTGAGGGAACTGAACGACTTGTATACTCTCCATTGGTCTGTTCCTGAAGGACTTCATCAGAGGTGTAAAATTGCAATGTTCGAAGATGTCCGTCACCTCTTGCAACTAAAAAAACATTTGATATTTTGAATATTTTAACTCGACTGGAAACGAAAATAACAAATATCTCGATGTGAAAATAAAATATTATTTCAAATAAAAATTTATGAAAAAACTAGAATGGCAACTTTCATTTTCAGGCATAATTCAATAAAAAATTTACATAATCAAAGCTGTATCACCCCACAAAAAAAAACAAATTAACATTAAACTGAAATACAATCAAATTTAATCAAAAATAACCAAAAGTCAAAATTTCTAAACCTTCAACAACAACAACAACAACAACTGGAAAAAAACAAAAACGACACATTTAAAAATCATCAGACCCCAAGAAATAAAACTCCCCAACTGTATTATCAAATCTGGTGTCAGGCTTATCAGACCCGTAAACCCTGATGGCATCGTGAAAGTCCATCTTAGGAAATGGAGAATGAATTGGCTTCAGATGTCCAGGCCACGAGTGAACCAGCATCCCTTCTACTATGTTCTTAACATCTTCTACATCAACAAATGACATTTCTATGTCAACCTGTTTGCAAAACAAATTCAAATATTTTTCAAATACTTATCCATATGAGTAGCTGGTTAAACTGGCATGGGTGTAAAAGTATTTCATCAAAAAAGCACATCATTCCATATTTATATGTAACTTGTTCGAAATAATGTATATATATATATATATTGGTGTTAACATGTTTTTGCAAAAATGAGTAAATTCATTAATGAATAAGCATATATTTGATTATAAATGCAAAATTTGTTTGTGAAAGTGTCAAATAATTATTTTCGAAAATTGACATATGTCAAATAAAGAATGAAGCTTATAGACGAACATAAAATGTGTAAATATACGTGGTTAATTAATATATCTTTTAATTATTAATCTGAAAAATAACGTTAAAAATTACAAATATGGATAAAAAAATGTTGAAATTGTGAAAAAATTGTGAAACTTGTGTGAATTCTGGTTGTCTATCTGGTTTGGCAGTCTCATCTCTGAAGCACTTTGCTATCTGCATGTACCTATCTATACCCCCAACCATCAGCAACTGTTTAAACTGGCATGGGTAGAAAAGTATTCGATCAAAAAAACCATTTATTTATTTATTTATTCACTAAAATTATCCGAAAAATTTCGAAAAAAAAATTTTTTTTTCGGTTAAATTGAAACAAAGTTACCACATTTCATTTTTACTTCACACATTTATACATTAGCTAAACCATTTTCTTACAGGAAATGAATAAAATATATCTTAAATCCTTTCGAATAACTTTTAAAATTTGTCTATTTTTAATAACTTTCATTAAAAAAATATCAAAATTTATAAAATATTATTTCAAAAAATTAATTTAAAAGTAATTTCATTAGAGATATTTACCTGCTGTGGACTTTGTGGTAGGCAATAAGCTTTGCCTTTATCATGTGTCGGTACTATGAACTCTCTGGCTCCCTGCGAAAAAAAATTATTCTATTAAAATAAACATAAATTATTAATGTAATAAATTACAATTAAATATAATAGATCAATATTTATTGCTTATTAACAAATTTATAGGTATATTTTGAATAAAAAGTAAAAAATTAAGAAAAAAACTAACACCAGGTGTCTTTCTAAAGAGGATTGGTGTTTCAACATCAACAAACTCTTGAAGGTATTTGAAAAATAGTCGAAAACGATATATCAAATAAAACAAATAAATAAATAGAACACTGACACACACAAATTAATATTAAATAAAAATACAATTTATTAAATAATAATAGGATATCCGAGTTGTTGACTTTTTTTTAATTTATTGATTTAATCAGTAAATAAAATGAAAAAAATGGTTAAAATTACCATTGGCCATGAGATATTCCCTCATCTTGAATAAAATTTTCGACCTCTGCCTCAAATTCTGCTGGAGTTTTCTGTGCCTGAGGTCTAAGTATCTATACTGTAGTCTCAAAGGTTCTTTAACCTAATTACGCAATTTAAAAAGTTATTTAAATAACTTTATAAAGATGAATGAATTTAAGTTCAAAGTAAGTTTATAATTACGAATCAATAATTAAAATGGCTACTTTGAAAATCTTTTTTATTTGCACCAACACTGAAAAAAGTGTTAAAAAAATAGATTTAAAAATGAGACCACCTCGTGAAATTCCTGAATTTGAAATGGCAGGCGTGCATTGCATCTATTTAGTATTTGAACATTCTCCGCTAACACTTCCAGTTCACCTGATGGCATGTCCTGAGTTTAATTATGTTGAAAATATTCATTTATCAGTTTGTTTGTTCATCAATGAATTCAAAAATTCATTCAACTATTTCTAAATTCATTTAATCATCAAATAATTCATATTCATTTCAAAAAGTTTTATGAAAATATGAAAAACAATGAAGAAAAAAATAGCATTAATCACATTTTCAAATATCTTTTGAAAATTCATTAAAAGTGTGAACAACTGAAAACAAAATTTAATTCAAAATGAGTGAACTATAAATAAAAAAGTGATTAAAAACCACAAAATAACCTCATTGCTCTGCTCTTCAGGTCTGTACCTGACAACTCCTGTGACTTCTAATACTGATTCTAAGGGTAGGTCTTTTAGGGATATTAATATCTGACAAAACAAAAAAAATTATTTGTTTTAATTAAAAATAATAAAATTAAATTTAGCATAATTAAATAATTATTCATTGTAATTAAATAACACACAAAATTTTATTAAACCATAAATAAGAGTTATAAATACACAATGATAAAACAAAGCAGACAACAAAAAAATTATATTATAAATTATATACTAACAAGAGGATCATTAACCATAACTTGAATGAAACCATAAGAATCTCTAAGGACCATAAACTGGCCAAGCATCCTTTTGTACTGCACCCACCCTGATATTTTAACTCTCTCAGATAAATTTTCTTTGGTGATTCGGCATGTCTTTCTTATATTTTTTATCGCTGGTCCACTATTAATTTCTTTTTTATTTGATGATTCTGACCGAGCGTGGTCAGCTGATTAGGAGAATTATTCATTAGTAAATTGGATTTATAGTTGAACACAGAGCCAAACGAATATAATACATTTAAGAATTAGGCTTAAACTAAAATTTGAAAGGTGTAGTACTCTAGTGAATTATTAATTATTTTTAAATAATTAATAATTATATTATATTTATATATACATATATATTATATAAGTATAATTTCTATTTTAATAAATTTTTTTATATGATCAATACATGGTATGTTTTAAAATTGAGTTTCCCTATTCAACTTCATACACACACGCATGCACGCACGCAAACACACATATAAATACACACATATACAAAAATTAAAATACTAAACATACAACTAACTTACGGAAATCAGATCGGGTGCGATAAGAAGCAAGAGGACAGGATTTCAAATTCAAAATTGAATCATTTAATTTTATCGAGGATAAATTTTTTAGGTTGTTGAACTTTTGATTAGTTGAGGACGTCACGAGCAGACGACTCTTCAGTAGAAAATTACGAGAGGCCATTACTTAATTAAAAAAAAAGTTAAATATGAAAACGTCTCGGTTTTTATAAATTTATAAAAATGTGTTTAAAAGTGAATAAGTTTAACAACCGTGTTAACGGCATATAATAAATATAAATATAGCGGCCTTCGCTCATTTTTGACGGTCGAACAAGAAGATTACTTCCGGAGGAAAATTGGAGGGTGATTTTTTATCGCCCAAGTCAAAAGTTACGATCGTATATTTACTAGTTTCGGAATATTGCTTTTATTTAAAATTTCAAATGTTCTAAAAGGTGATACTAGATGCTGTTTTAGGATAGATATTGCTGTATGACGGTTAAGTATCTTTTTGCATTTTAAATAAAAAAAATTTTTTGTGAACCACCAACAACACTTAACTCATTAACTGTAACAACACTAAACGACGACTAATTAGTAATTAAATTACTAAACTCTAATAATTAAGCTAAAACTAAACTCTACTGATTCTAATTACTAATTGAAATAAATAACAAATAACCCTAACGAACATTAACAGATTAGACCACTAGAAACTACCAACCACTACACTACTACATACTACTACTACACTACCAACGACTAACAGCACTTGTTCCTAAGATCCTAAATTCTATTGCTTAATTGGTTTTAAAATTTTTGTTTACAATGCTTAAGTCTGGGAATAAAAAATATACTAAATTAAATAAATATATTAAACAACTTATCAATCAATTTTATAAAATAAACAATTTTGTAATTTGTTCAATTCAAACTCCCCAAGCTAACTTGCAATTTAATTAAAATTTATTAATTATGAGTGATTCAAACTAAATTTTTTTTCATTTAATGTTTTACAAAATATTCCTCATTCTTAAATTGTAGTACATGTTGTTATTAAATTTATTAAAGATAATGTGTGATTTGGATAATAATAATTAAAAATATCGGTATCATTGAAAATGGATAAAGTCACAAATAAAAAAATAAATCATAAATTGCTAAAAATAATAGTTCCAGTAAGTTTTTGCCTTACACCTACATCTTTTTTTCATTCTTATATTATAATAAATGTTTGTTATCAAATATATCAAGGATTGATTTCTCAATCCATGACTAGATTGAATGTCATGATCCTACAGTTCCAGAGGATCCCCATCACCATTAGTCAATAAGGTTTGTAGAAATCACCCCAGGCATACATACCATCAATGTTTTGTAGCCACTTTTTAATGTAGTTTTAATAAAATGACATTGAGAATAGTTATTTAAAACAATCTTATTAAAATTATTGAACAGGTAACAGCTATGACAAGATTACTTTCTTAATGTCCTAGTGTGAGGAAGATGTAAGCCATTTGTCCAAAGATAATCATATGCCTTATGCCCATACAAATGCAGTCTCAACGCGAATGATTTTTGATCAGTCATATGTTCTAATTTTTTTAAACTTTTCCAGAAATTTTTCTGTTAATTTATTTGTTACATTAAATACTTGATGTGTATTTCATATAAGAACTTGATTATGCCAATTTGGTTAACTTGTTAAGCATTAATATAAAATTGACTCTACTTGTAATGGTGAGTGGTATTATGATGATGATCCAAGTCTTAAGCAGGGTTTATTATTCACAATGTCATTATGCCCTTTCTAAGTTTTAATAAAATACATGGAATATTGTTGAATGCATTTTATATTTTTTGATATTTTTTGTATAGATAAGAATGTTGCAATGTACAATGATGATGTGAATTGCTTCCTTGTGTAATTGATGACATATAAATATAACTAACTTGAAAACATGGGAATGCTTCCTTCAGCATTACCTTCCTTTCTCCATCATAACCCTTATAATCTTTATTACAGAAATGGTCACTGCATATTCTTGCATTTTTTGATGGAAGCCATTTGAAATCATTTATTTCCTGTCTGATCCACTTAATCCAATCGTTTTGCATTTTTACATTTTGAGGAAATCTGAAATTTTATAAACTGTTACAGAAACTTGTGCATTTCTTAAGTATTGCTTTTAATAATAAAATGGTAATCCATCATAGCATTATAAATTATAATAGTCTATAAAACAAAATATATGTAATTGTAAAACAAAATAGTTCTATTCAATGAGTATAGGGATATTGTTACATTTATTTTAGTGTGAAGTTAATTTGAAAATAAACCTGGAAAAAGATGCATCAGAAATTTTCTCATTTCTATTTATTGTTAATGCAATTTTTAATGCAACAGGTAGGCATGTTTGTGTATAGCTACGAAAATGAAAATTTACCTAAAAACTAAATTATTGTATCTGACATGAAAATTAGTACAGAAACAAAAACGAAAGAATAAATGACAATATAAAAATTTAAACATTGATTGAAAGAGTTTATTCTAATTATATGGTATGGGCAATTCGTTGCGAAATCGTTGGAGTGTTGCGGTTGGGTTTGATGATGGATGAACACTGAACCAGAAGAGCAGTGAGCGGGAAAAGAAAAGAACTGTATTCGTTTGGATAGGCTGGACACGTGTTTCGTCCCTACCGGAGACTCATCAGCAGCCCGAATACCTGTCAGAATAGTTATCGCGTTGGAGGGGAAACTCTCGTTGCTTGTTTTTCCTCGATCACGTCGGGGTCACCAATTTGTTGCGGTTGGGTTTGATGATGGATGAACACTGAACCAGAAGAGCAGTGAGCGGGAAAAGAAAAGAATTGTATTCGTTTGGAAAGGCTGGACACGTGTTTCGTCCCTACCGGAGACTCATCAGCAGCCCGAATACCTATCAGAATAGTTATCGCAGTTTCTTATAAAGCCCGCACAAATCAACTCCTTGTTTCGTGGTGTTTTATTTATTAGTCTTTTTAATCGCTAGGATTTTTAATCCGACAGGAGGAAATGGTGTCAACAGTAGTTATTTTACTGCATGGTAGTTAATCAGCCGGTATAAAGGTTATATTCAATTTCTATCAAATAAATTTGACAAAATATCATACACAGGCAGAACTAAATAAAGAAATAGATAGATATATACACGTAGTTATAATACATTTATAATGTTGTATTTACACATTCAAATTGTACAATTGTGTTATGGTGTAGTCTCAAATTATTTTGAATTCTCTCAGAAAATTTTAAACGTTTTACTACACTATATATACTAGTTATTTTCATCAACAATTTAAAAAGAGTTATATAGAGTTATATAGAGTTATATAGAGTTATATAGAGTTATATAGAGTTATATAAAGCATAAATCCTATATAGATACCTTTCTTTGAGATTCTTTCCTTTGCCGACCGGTCGGCTTCTTTGCGTTTCTCTATTTTCATTTTAATTAATTAAATAAATAAGATTTTTCCATTCATTAAGGTTCATTCAAGTTCATTCATTCAGGTTGAAGCTTCCAGAGGAGTTCATCGTGGAAGATCAGAATGGTTGTGATGTCACGCCACGTTCGTTCATTCCGTGGCAAAGAATGCACGCTTGGCTGGGGTTAGTTTTACGGTTTCTTTGCGGTTCCTTTTTGCCAGTTGGCTGGCTTTTCCGGCTGGCGGGTTTCACCGCGGCTCGTTTCTCTATTTTCGTTTAAATTAATTAAATAAATGGGATTTTTTCATTTCATTCAGGCTGAAGCTTCCGGAGGAGTTCATCAGGGAAGATGTCAGGCTACGTTCGTTCATTCAGTGGCAAAGAATACACGCCTGGCTGGGATACGTTTTATTCTTTCTTCTCTGTAATTTAACATTAAGTAAGAATGCTCACACGCACACACACAATTCCATTAAGTAGCTATATAGGTAGGTTAGATAGGCATAATTTTAATTGTAGGTAGGATAGATAGGAAGCATCCAACACTAATGTAATTGAATAGGTAGGCGCGTAAGTTTATCGCTTCTATTTTTTTCTTGCACCCACATTACACGCATCAGCGTATTACACACACACACACACACACACACACACACACAAATACATACATAAACACATATATTAGTATTTGAGCGTATTTTTATTTTCATTACACATTCTAATTTATTATTACTAAGGTTGAGAGTAATTTAATTTCATAGGTAGTTAAGGGCAATAATGTAGTTCTAAGAACAATCTTGTAATGTAAATTAAAACGCTGTAAGTGTATCGATAGGTAGGTTAATTATTAAGTTTTACATTATTATTATTATGTTGGAGCCCAAGGTGGTGGGGTGGGTGCCGAAAGGCCAATGAATTGGGCTCTTGAGTTTTGTAATTTTAGGTAAGCTAGGGCCATAATGTTATGAATAGGTAAGTTAAGGCTACGTTGTAACATACTCATTAATAGATTTAGGGTTTAAGTTTTATATTATTATTACTAAGTTGGAGCCCAAGGCATTACGTAGGTGGTGGGGTGGGTGCCGATTGGCCAATGAATTGGGCTCTTGAGTTTTGTAATTTTAGATAAGCTAGGATTTAATTGTAATGAATAGGTAAGTTGAGAGTACGATAGCCGATAGACTCTGAATTTCGAAGTCTGTTGTCAGAGGTGAGCCTTGGTGGCCAGTGGTGTACCGGCAATGGTTTACTATCCGGACGGCAATGGTTTACTATCTGTACGGTAATGATTTACTATGCGGCATGGCCATAGTCTACTACCCGCACGGCTTCCGGACGGCAAATGGTTTACTATCCGGACGGCAATAGTCTACAATCCGCACGGCAATGGTTTTCTATCCGGTGCCCTGGCTGTCGGTGAACCTCTGTGCAAGGGGGAAGAATGAAGAGGGACTTTCGACTATCGTACCATTAACAATTTAATATAGATTAGTTAAGGTAATTGAATAGGTAGATAGGATTATTTTTATTAAGCAATTTGAGATGCAGGCACCGCTAAGCTTTCTGATGAGAATCTACTCTTTCTCTATCTTTCTCCATCAACTCGGGCTGAGTTTCAACAACAATCTCGAGAAGGACTGGCACCAGTTTTGGAGGACAACGTAAGAACCGGACCGCATTCAACATTCTGCCTTTGTCGAATGGACGACGGTAAGTTTTTTTCGTTTTTTATTTTTCTCATTCGTTCATTTTATCACTCAACCTTTTAAATTATTCTTCTTTTAATTGATTCGTTAATTCATTCTATTCATTAATTGAATCATTGACTTATTAATTAATTCATTCATTCACTCACTCATTCAACCAATTACTCAATCATTCAGTTAATCATTTATTCGATCGTTCCTATGTTCCTTGATTTACTAATACGCTATTAAAATTTGTCTACAGAATGATGAAAGGTGGGCTGTGGTGGGCATCAGATGGAGGTCTCATGATGATCGTTCCGATGACAATTCGAAGATAACAACAACGACGGTTTTTGAAGTATGATTTAGTTTCTTTTTTTATTTTTCTCATTCATTCATTCATTTTATCACTATCTTTCAAATTATTCCTCAGTTAATTTATTCATTGATTCATTCTATTCATTCATTAAATCATTGGTTGATTAATTAATTAGTTAATTTATTCATTCAACCAATCGTTCAATCATTCAGTTAATCATTTATTCGTTCATTCCTTTGTTTCTTGATTTACTACTTCGCTAATTAATAAAAACTTGTCTACAGAATGATGAGAGGTGGGTTGTGGTGGGCGTCAGCACGTTTCAGATGGTGGTCTCATGATGATCGTTCCGATGACAAATCGAAGATAATGTTAAAGGTAAATTTGTTTTTGTCCCATTGTACCTTTGAAAGTACTCGAATTTGAACAAAGATTGAGTGTTATCTCAAAAAGATAAGTTGCATACTTTTTCCAATTGCTTGTTTTTTATTTTAGTGAATTAATTTTTTTTTTCAATTTATTTTTCAGTATCCGGTCAAATTCATTCCATCGATGCATGTCAGATGATGGTCGGTGCAATGGAGGTTTGTCGGTAGTGAGTGAAGTTTCTGGAGAGTGCGCGCCCCGCACATTTACATACACACACATCAATACAACACATACATACACAACATCCATTCATTCGGTGTCGTTGTTGCTATGTTTCTCTTCAACTTTATATTTTCTTTACCGTGAACCGGGCTTTAATGTAATTCATAGGTAAGTTTGGGACTGAGATGAGTTAAACAATTGTAGGTAGGCTAGGGCTTAACATTAGTTAAAAAGCTTCAAGTAAAATAAAATATGTTAAATAAAATACTTGAAACATCTAAAACGAGAAATACAAATTTGAAGGTAAGTGAGTTGAGTTAATGTTTATAAGTAAGCTAGGGCCCTGAGAGTAATTTTATTATAGGTAGTGACTGACTATTATTCTTGCGACTTCTTACTAGTTTTGTCATGTGTTTGTTTTCGCTTCACAACACCACACCAACAAAACAAACTACATTTCATTCTCGTCGTCGCCTTAAATTGTACCTTTTTGAACAATCTTTTTAATAATGTCTATTTATTTATTCATTAATTGTTGACTGGTTTCTAGTTTTTTTTAAATTGGTTATATAATTTTTGGATATTTCTTGATTTACTTTGTATATATGCATGTATAAATTATTTCTGTTTAGTATGTTGATTTAGTCATTATGATATGTTGTGAACTGTTCTTACTAAATGTTCATGTTACGTGGTTTATTATCCTTCGAGAACTTCTAAGGAGTGTGTATGATAATAATAATAATGGATAATAATTATTTTTATCGGTCGATATTTTGTTATATCTGTTTATTTAAAATACGAATTTAAAAAAAAATGGACATTTTAAAATTTTAATTAACCGTCACTTTTCATTTTTGAATGAATTCAAATAAAAGCAACTACTGTGTTTTTTCTTTACTAAAATCTCGAAATTGTTTGTTGATCTGTACGGTTAACTGTTTGTTCGAGTTTGAACAGGCCTTGCAAATTTTTTTTATTTTTGTTTATTTGGTTCATTCAATTTAGTTGATTGATTGATTGGTTGATTGATCGGTTGGTTGATTGATTGACTGACAGACTGACTGACTGACTGACTGACTGACTGACTGACTGACTGACTGACTGGCTGGCTGGCTGGTAGACTGACCGACCGACCGACCGACTGACTGATTGTTTGATTGATATCTCATAGTATTGTATACATGAGAAAAAATCCGATTAAGCCAACCTACGGCTTCAGTAAGCCACTGTTTTTCACCTGACAAAAGCAATTTCTATATTTATACTGACAAAAATAATTGTGATATGAATATATTGATTTATTTAAAGCATTATATGTACAAAAAAGTGCTATCGTAAGAGTTCTATGAAACCCTGTAAGCCACTGCTGTAAGCCAACGTATGATTTCAGCAGCCAGTTTCTTATGAGCACCAGCAGAATGTAAAATATTCATTGAATATAATGAAGATAGTTGTTCAAATAACAATTTTGATTTATTTAGGCCGTTTATTTCATAAGCAAACCAATTTTTAACATGATCGAATAGTGTAAAAAAAAGGGATTTTTATATTCAAATTAACAAAAATAATTTAATAATACATATTTCTATTAATCGTTATTAAAATTAAATAGAATTACTACAATGTTTTAAGCATATTAATTCAAGTAAATATTTCATTCAGCTTGCTCGTTAAAATCCATGAAATTTCGTAAGCCAACAATCCAAGCACGACAAATAGCCCGACCGATAGATCGAATTGATCGATTAGTCCTATTATTCTAGTTATGTGGTTTGGAGCAAGGGGAAACATTACTGAAAAAAATTAAAAGTTGAAAAAATTGTGGTTCTTTGCATATCCCTGCTTCAACCCATAAGAAGGTGTTGTATGCTGGTAAATAGGCCTCTCCTTGGTTAACAGCACTCAATTATATTTTTTTAGCCATATACTTGGAAGATTAGAATTCAACGAGCCAAGTTGTGCAAAAAATTTTTTGTATTAAATAAAACTATTGTAAAACATATTAATAATATTTATATGTATATACTAAAATTTACATAATCAAACTAATCAAACATTTTGAAATGTTTTATTTTATTGCCTTGCCATACTTAACGTCTTATATAAATCCAGCTGTACGTACTGATCTAATTTCACTAACTTTGGAAACATGATTTTGAAATTTTGTGGCTTGCCTCCCTTGAAAAATAAAATAAATTATTTAAACATCACTGTTTAAAAACATCAAAAAGTTAATTTTGAAAAGGATAAAATTTAAATTAAATGAAAAATTACAAAAGTAGAGAGACCGAGGAAGAATTGAACAAACATGCACTTTCGCATTCAGTTTCCCTTGTTCAACATTGTCATCAACCTCCGGACGAAAACTCCCCAACCGTGTACACACTATCATCATCGTCGTCATCATCATCATCTTCGGAGGACGATGAGAATGATGAAAATAATGGCAGTCAGGATGATAAAAATGAAAATGAGGAGGGCCTTGCTAAATCAGGCAGACAAATATCTGAAGGCGATGCCAGTACTGTGAGTGTTGGAACTGCAGATGATGATGACGACAATAATGAAAAAGAAGATGATGATGATGATGGTAGTGACGAAGATGAAGATGAGAAGGCAGAGAGAGAGAGACAGGAAAGGAAGAGGAGAATAAAAATTAGGAAATTGGAAAGATTGATGGAGGTGTGTGTGTGTGTGTAAAACAGTAATAGTGTAATATGTAATTATAATGTAACGTGTGTTAATGCTGCTCTGTTCATTTCTTTGATTAACAACTGACATTTTTAGCAGTAATTTTTTATGGCAAGTTTTTAGTAATTTAGTTTAGACTAGATAACTAATATTAACTGATAATTCATAATTATATAAATAATTTAGTGGTTGTTTTTTTGTCATTTAAATAAATAATTATATAAACATATCAAGTAATTTGCTTTTATTTATTTATATAAAAAATATTTTCCACTAAGATCCTGAATAAACGAATTTGCAAGTTTGAAGAACGAGAGTTGACGCTAGATGAGATGGATGACGAATCCGACTACACCCTCTGCGATAGGTGGGTCAAGGTGAAGGTTGAGGAAAGAAAAATCTTAAATATAACATAGAAATAACAAAGAAAAACATTAAATTAGCTAAGAAAGTTAACTTTAAATAAACAAGTCAGAGGTTGAAAGAGTTGTAAAGTGAAAATTTTGAAAAAAAGCTTATGAAATAAAAATAACCAAATTATGTTTCAGATCATATTAACTTTACAAATCTTCATATTTCAGATAAAAAAAAACAAGTTTTGTTGCAGATGATATTAATTTTTTTAAGAATCTTCTTATTTCAGGTACAAAGCCAAATTTGTTCAGATATGGAAGAAGTTGTGCAAGTTGAATGACCAGGCTGCCCATGTTGGCCGACATTCAGAGAAGAACTTCGTCTTTGAAGGTTAGTTCGTTACTCAAAAGTCTCTCTTTTTCATCTCTCTCTATCTTCTCTCTTTCTCCTCTCTCTCTCTCTCTCTCCCCCTCTTCACTCTCTATGTATGGAATTTTTTCACGCACAGGAACGAAATATCCTCAAATAAATAGGATCATCTCCAAATTTGTCAACGAAGTCAAAACGTTTCCAGATTATCAAGAAGTTTATGAGATTGTTACAAAGTGTAATGCCCACTATTCTATGAAATTAAGGTTTCTAGGGTCATTCTTCTGGTGGTTTATTCTCATTCTAATCATTTGAGGAGTTTTTTGGTGTTGTATTTCTTGTTTATTTCACTATATTAATGTATTTTTTATCTTCTGTTCTTTCATTTAATCCTCTAATCCATCCATCTATCCACTAATAACCAACACAGCAAGAATCAGATCCTCGGAATTAGTGAACAAGCATTCGTAAAATTAGGCGAACTACTCAAAATGAGAAGAATCAAAGATTACAAAGAGGAGTTTGGCTGCCATCTTACCGATGATGTCAGGTTGGCAGAGATGGGCGGATAAATATATTTAAAAAATTTTTATTTTTGGGTAATGATGATGATGACGACGATTGTGATGGCATTCACATACAGGAAGGATCCGGCAGCTGATGACGCTGAGCTGAAGAAAAAACTCGACGAGAACAAGAAAATTAGCAAAAACAAATTAGAACAGGTGATGATAACGACGACGATGATGATGACGACGACGATGATGGCGATTGCAATGATGATGATGATGATGATGATGATTATCTCATAACCATCTTCATCATCATTATTATTACAATGTTGAGGGTGATAACAGTGATAGCGATGATGATGATAGTGTCATTGTTGACGGTGATGATAATGATAATTAAAATAGTGGTGATGATGACGGTGATGATGATGATGATGATGACGACGACGATGATGATGATGGAATTAGGTGACTGGCTAGAAGAATAAATGATAAAAAAAAGTTGGTTGTGATAATAATGATTATGCATTTTTCCAACTTGAAGGTCTTCAGTCATTATACCACCCTACAACTTACCAGCTCGAAGGACGATGAGGACGAGGACGACGATGATGATGACGGTGATGACGATCGTAGTAGTAGTAGTGGTAGTAGTAGTAGTGGTGGTGGTGGTAGTGGTGGTGATAACGACAATGATGATGATGACGATGATAATAATCAGAGTGATGATGATGGTGATGTTAAGGCTGGAGGTAAAATACTTCCTAACAGTCTGAATGGTATCATTCATGATACTAATGTAGATGATGGTGGTGATAATGATAATATCAATACTACTACTACTACTACTACTGCTACTACTATTGCTGCTACTGCTGCTACTACTACTACTACTATTACTAACTGTGATGATGGTAGGCATAAGAATGAAAGCAATAATAAAATCATTACTGTCTATAATGCTGAAAATATTTATGATATAAATCGTATTGGTATTAACCGTGATAATAATAATAATAAAAATGATAATAATAGTAATAATAATGATAATAATAATAATGATGATGACGATGACGACGATGATTTTCACTTAGTCATTGACGAGTTTGTTGATGAAGACGATGAGATCATTGAGCAACAAACAGCTGCCACTGATGATGGTGATGATGACAATAACAAAGATGATGATGATGATAAAAAAGATGATAACGATGATGGGGATGATGATAAAGATTATGATAATGATAATTACGTGGGGTTGATTGGAGAATCAAAAGTGGCTGTGGGATTGGGAGATGGTTTAATACACAACAACAACAATAATATTAATAATAATAACGGTAATAATAATGATGATAACGACGATGATAACATTGAAAATGATGATGGTGATAAAAATAGCCTTTCCCCATTCGTTTTATTAATTTCCCTTGCAGATCTAAGTTCCTTATCGAAAAAGCTGTACCAAAAATCTGGAGGCCATCCTGACAAAATTTCCAGCTTCACTACTGCTACTGCTGCCACTTCTATTGCTACTGTAACTATTATTAATACTACTACCGCTACTGCTGCTGCTGCTAATACTACAGCTGCTATTCCCGCTATTACTACTTCAAATTCTGCTTCTACTACTACAGCTGCTACTGAAACTGTGACTACTTTGACTACTGCTCCTACTACTACTTTTGCTACCACCACTACTACAAATACTACTGCTGCTACTACTACTACTACTACTACTGCTGCTACTACTACCACTACAACTACTACTTCTACTTTTTCAACTACAGCTGCTGCCACTACTACTTCGACAGTTACTAAAGCTACTGCTATTAATACTACAACTGTTAAAGATAGTAGTAGTACCTATACTGCCAAGAAAATGATTGCCAACAATCATAATAATAGCAATAATAATAATAATGACGATGATGATGATGATGATAGGGCTAGTGAAAGTAAGAATACTAATTGTAATAGCACTAAAGCTAATGATTGTAACATCATTCATGTTGGTGAAAAAAATCTCACACCTTCTTTAAAAAAGTTCGATGTCTCGGATTCACCTACTACCAAATTGCAGCGTTTTGAAGGTGGGCTGAAAGTGACTATAGGTAAACCTAATCTAAGTCCCTCAAAGGTGCTACTTGAAAGATGTGATCGGGCTCTTAGTTGCACCATTAATGGTAATAGTAGTAGTAGTAGTAAAAGTAGTAGTAGTAGTAAAAGTAGTAGTAGTAGTAAAAGTAGTAGTAGTAGTAAAAGTAGTAGTAGTAGTAAAAGTAGTAGTAGTAGTTGTAGTAAAAGTAGTAGTAGTAGTAATAGTAGTAAGATAGGTAGTTTTAGTAGCAGTATCAGTAAGATAGGTGATGTCAGTGTTGTTATTAGCCATTTAGGTAGCATAAGTAGTAGTAGTGTTTGTAATGTTGTTGGTAGTAGCGTCGGTGAAGCTGCTACTACTAGTAGTAGTGGTGGCGGCGTCAGTAGCAGCGTTGCTAGAGTTAGTACTGTCAGTAGTGGTAGTAGTGGTGGTAAGGTTATTGGAGGGAGTAGTATTTTGAGTAGTTGTAGTAGTAGTAAAATTAATGATCACGCGAGTAGTATTTGTAGTAGTAGTGGTGGTGGTGGCGTCAGTAACAACTGCATTCCTAGTTATGATCAGATATCTAAATCTAAAAAAAAGAGAATTCGTCGCCAGCCTAATCGAGATGGCGAGGATGACGATCTTGAACGTAAACGTTCGAAACTTGATTATATTATTAGTAATGACAATGATGACGATAGTACTGCTGCTACTACTACTACTACTGCTGCTGCTACTACAACTACTAATATTAATGGTAATGATAATAGTTATAGTAACGAAGACAACACTAAGATAGGTGATGATGATGATGATGATGTCTTAATATGTGATGTCTGTGATAAAGTCAGTAATAATGGCAGTAATAATAATGACGTAAACAAAGATACTAAATCACGAAGTAACAAAAATGACGATGACGTCAACGACGATGGCGATGATAAGGAAGAGGACCAAAGAATTCGTCGCCATTGGGATGATGGTGACGTAAACACGAAACTTGTTAATGGACAACTGCCCGGTGATAGTATTTTGAAACATAATAAGAAGAAAGATGGCCGTGGTGATGAAGTGAGTGAGGACAGAAGGAAGACAAATGGCGGGAAAGATGATGGAATGAGTGCAGTGATAAAGAAGAAGAAGAGAAAGAGGAATGACGATGATCGTTCTGAAAGCAGAGAGAGTAGAAAACATGAGGCAGATGATAAAATCGTCAATGATGATGATGATGATAATAATAATCATAATAATAACGTGAGTGATGACGACGATGACGTAATTTGCATTGATGATTTTCTTGATGACATCAATTCCACTCAAATCACAACACACAACGACATGTCATCTGACAACAATAGCAACACTAACGATCTATACTACAGAAATAGTAGCCTATATAATAGAGATAATGCTAACACGAATGGCTGTAGTGATGGGAATATTCCAAATCTGGCTGATGCTAATAATGTGGTTCGGCCATTCCTATTTGGTAGTAATAGGCATTCCAGTTTGTTGTCGACCTTTCGACAAACAAATACAAAAGTGAGATCACTGCAATCGAAAGTTCATGCAAATTGTAGCAACAAAGCACCTCCATTCTCACAAATTCATTACAAAGCTTCAAATAATAACAACAACAACATTAGTAATGTGGCAGGTTTTGATGGCAGCGATTACAACAGCGCTGCAAACGGCAATTACAACAACAACACACGTGGCAACGACATCAGCAATGATGTCATCAATTCCTATATGATTGACATCAACAACATTCCAAACTCTGCTGTTGGTGGCTCGATGAACTACAACTCAGGCAGTTGCAATCCACTTAGCAGGCCTCTTAGTGGCAAACGAGCCAGGAAAAAATCTCAGCAGTCGAGCGTCATCAACTTCAACAACGCCGACAACATCTTCGGCACCAGCGCTCAAGATGTCGCTCGTCTGCCCAAGCTACCAGCGAGACTTGCCAAGCAAATAGAGAAGATGACGAAGGATGTTGTGGACACTCACATGCGCAGGAAGCAGATCTCTCAACTTTCTCCGGAGTTTCAACAGTTCCAGCCAACGACGCAAAACAATCAACTACTACTGCAGTATCAGCAACAGCCGCTGCAACAACAACAACAACATAGTCAACCACATCAATATCAACAGTATCATCAACCACAACGACAGCCGCGATCGTGTCCGCAAAACTTTCGACCGCATCAGTACCGACGTCAAATGCAGGCACAAATTCGACAGAGAATTCAACAAATTCAGCAGCAAAATCGCCTACGATATCAACAACAACAACTCAACCACGACCTAATTATATCTGTTGATGAAAATACGAACAACTATACCAGCAGCAACAGCATCTGTAACAATAATAGAACGTTTAGTGACATACACAGCACTAACAAAAATATTAATAGCGTTAAACCCTGCAACAATACAAACTTGAATGCATTCACAGACAACAACATTACTACTGGGGATGGTACCTTTGATAGCAATAACAACAACAGGCTATATAACAGTAACACCAACAACAACAATGAACGTTACACTAAAAATGTCGACACTGAAAACAGCAACATCATCTCTAGAAACCAAATTTACAATCAGAACATCAACAAAAACATCAACCACAATAACAACAACATCAACCACAACAACAACAACCACAACAACATCAATAACATCAGCAAATCGAACTGCAATAAAAAAACTAACAAACACACATCCTTTAACATTAACAACAACAACAATAATCATTACACTAATACAACTAACTTGAATAATTTCTGCAATATGGACAGTGACAGCAATAACAACGACAATAATAACAACTATAATAATAATAATATCAACAACGGTAATAGCATTAATTATAGGTCTTCAACTTTTACAAACAGTGACGTGAACAGAACAAACAACTCACACTCACACAATTACAAGGCAGATAGAAACATTTCCACTTACACTCCAGCGCAGCCAAAACTTTCAGCCGGCACTGTATCTCAGCAGAAGCCGACAAAACGTCAACAAAGTAGCAAAAGAAAGATACTGGATAAGAGTCTTGCTGGTGATTCTAGTGCGGCGAAAAGAAAATTTAACAATGATGATAATTTCGTTGGAAATTTGATTGTCTTGAATGATGATGATGATGAGGAGGAGGATGAGAAGGTGGAAGATGCTAATTCTCAAGAACATTTCGTCGTCGATGCTGATGAGTTGTCTACAGCTGTCATCAACCTCCCATCAGCAACCAGCAACCAAGAAACTGCTGAAAACAGCAACAGCAGCAGCAATAACAACAACAACGCTAGGGAAAATTTATCTTCTGCTATGAATTCACTTTACGTCAAAGTCATCAAAACGACCACAACAACTACAACCACCGTCGTGCAGCACAAAGAACGGCGTCAACTACCACGACAGCGGCGACCAAATCGCATTAAGTGTCAGCTACAAAGTCAACAGCAACGTCAGCCGCAACCACAACAACAATTAGTTATGCTCAATGATGAAGATAACGACGACGACGATGTTATCATTTGCGATGACGTCACAGCCGATAACGAAAACTCTAAAAATAGTACAGCCAGTAAGACACAACAGTTTTTGACTATTACGACTGCGATGTCGCCATTATCATCATCATCAACAACAACAGCAACAACTACTACTACTACAATACAACAACAACAAATAAGCAGCAGCAGCAACAACAACAAAAACACAAGTCTCATTACTCAGTCATGTTCTTTGGGCAGTTTAATATCAGATGATGACAATGATGATGATGATGATAGAGTCGTAGGATATGCCCAGGTCAACGATGACAATGATGTTGTAGAAGATGATGACGTCATCGTCGCGTGTGAAGCAGATGACGTACGTGCTAATACTGATGACGATGATTGTTGCATAGATATCCATTCCAACAAAGAATCAGAGAATCCGGAAAATAGTAATAGTACCAATGTCTGTAACATTGTGAATGATCCAGAAGACTTTGTAGATAATGACTGCGTTATATGCCTGTTGTAATGCCTTTATTAAACTATTTTTTGCCACTTATTTGTTTGATATAAGAAAATAAATTTTAAAATTTAATACGTATTTCTGTTGAAATTCATTATTATTATTATTAATAACTATTATTTTTTTTAATTATTATTATTATCAATTATCATTATTATATTATTTTATTTTAACGATTTTAAATATTAATTTTGAATTATTTAACGATTTTAAAATAATTGACACATTGCGATTTTTAAATGTTGAACACTCAGCGTGAAATAATTTTAGTAATATAAAGGTTGTCATTGCCCCATGATTCATGACTGAATGATTGGGTGAATGCGTGTGGTAATTTATGGCTATCTTTGCGTAGAAATACAAGGTATCTTCAATGCAGGTCTTTGACTTTATGCACATTATTCATTTAATCGTTCCTTTGTTCACTTCCACTCGAGTTTGATTTAATAAAATGGGATTTAATTTGCTCTGAACTGTTTTTGTTTTTATTAAATAAAATATTTTCAAATGGGATGTTTGTTTTTTGTTTTTTTTTTTTTGAAAAAATTTGGAGTGATTAGGAGAAGAACGTCTTACCTCAGGGGAACTGGGTCTCTAAACGCTAAACGAAGATTGATTGGTTGGTTGATTGATTGATTGATTGATTAGGAGAAGAGTTAAAAAAGTAGAGAAGTCGATGTGATGTGAGAGTGGAATTATTTAAATAATTCTATCGTCGTCATTTCTTTGAAATGTGTTCTCGCCCTTTGTATCCATTCAAATAAGGAGAAAATCATGAATAAAAAACCGTTGGTTTTCAGCGGGCAGCTGGTACTTGTTTGTTTCCGTCTGGTGAAATTGAAGTAAAAATAGTTAGTTTTTGAAGGTTTGAAAGATAACGTTCATTTGTCAACCACCTTTATCTTGCCTATATTGGGTTAGGCAGCGTTCCTCAACGAACTTTATTATTTAGAGGTAGATTTACACTTTTGACTCATTCAAAAATTTGTCACTTGTTGAAAAATATATGAAAAGCTGAAAGAGAATTTTTATGGTTATGACGAAAGTTATGTAAGAACAAATTGACCTGAAAATGTTTAACTGCGGTGATGAAGTAGTAGCTGATCTCCACTGGTTTAATCCATATTTGATTTCTTTAACGTAACTCGCTCTACCATGGTCTTCCTGATTCAACATCTTGTTGCATCACTTAACATGTTGAATACATCCAAATGCCATATCATCATCGTACATCATCTCGTATCAAAACCATCGTATATCCAATATTAACAGCGTAAACCCATCCAAATACTCACATACACAAGACATACACACAAAGATAGGAATATCACATTTCAGGCCTTACATAAATACATGCATACCTGAAGGCAAGAATTCTGTATAAGATTTCAAAGTATTGTACACACACACACACACACATATATATATATATATATATATACATAGAGAGAGAGAGAGAGAGAGAGAGAGAGAGAGAGAGAGAGAGAGAGAGAGAGAGTTATAAATACTTAGGTATATGTACATTTACGTGTGTTGAGTGTGTGTGTGTGTGTGTGCGCGTGCGTGTGTGTGAGGATGTGTGTGTGTGTGTGTGTGTGTGTTATGAGGTTTTTAATTCCGTCAAAGTCTAAGACAGAAGGCGATAATGACAAGGCAATGGTGATGACGTCGACGACGACGATGATGATAAAATTTTGAGATGAATATATAGGACGGTGCTAATGAAGATGATGATGCGAATGATGGTGAATTAGTATGGTGAATTTGACGATATGACAACAATAGTGATAACGATGATAATAATTTTTTGACAATGTGAGTGATAAAACGATAAAGATAAGATGTGATTTACTTCAAGTGTGCTAGTAACTTTTGTCTAACAATTCTTAATAATTGTGATAATGTAATAATGATCGTATCAGCAGCATTATGCTTATGTATGTATGCATATATCTGTCTATACATGTGTGTGTATGTGTATGTGTGGTGTTAAAGGTTAAAAAAAAAGGTTAAAGGTTACTCTCTCTTTTGCGTTTGCTTCAGAGGTTTCAACGACAAACACACACAGCGTACATGAATACGCGTGCAAACCACGCATCATACAAATTGAATATGATAGGCGGGGATCTCTTTGTATTCGAACCCAGTCATTGCAATAGCAAGACCAGGCGCCTTTAACCATTGAGCCATCACGGTGTGTGTGTGTGTGTTTCTCTGTGTGTGTATGTTTGCCCTTGTTAGATTTAAAGCAAACGTTTATAATACTGCATATTTATTTGTTTGGTTAATTGGAATGGTGAAGGATGGTGTTATAAAAACTTCACACGTAAAACATCTATCTTTATGTGTGTGTGTATGCGTATATGTATGTGTGAGAGTATGTATATATAACATACATATTTATATGTAGACATGAGTGTGTGAATGTGATGATATATATATATATATATATATATATATATATATATATATATATATATATATAGTACGTTTATATAAACAAACATCTTGGTCTTAATTAGAGATTTGTTTTGTGGAACGAAAAAAACTGAGGAATGTTTTTAATTGCAATAAAATAAGAACAATTGAATGTAAATAATATTATTATTAAATAAAAATATTACGGTTGAATAGTTAATTAATTGACTGATTGATTGATTAATTAATTAACTATATTTTTATTAAAAAAAAATTAGGGTTTTAATGATATGTGTTTAACCATAAAATAAACTCGTATCAAAGTTAATTTTTTGTGTACTGTGTATAGTTAATATTTTTGACGGTTGCAATTTTTTTTAACTATTTCGATTCGGTTTTTGGAGATAACGGAAGAATATTCGAAATACCGACACCTATTTTATTTTCACTATTCTCTACCATGAATTATTGTTCTACGGATTATCCATTTTAACCAAATTCTCTGAAATTATTTCATGTAAAAAGTGCCTTACTCTACCGACACATCAGAGAGAACTGAGCCGATATACTGTTGCATCTCTATTGAATTGAATAAGAAATATATGGAGATATTTGTTTTGTAATTCTTTTTATTATTATTCTTTATTCTTTAAAAAATCAGAATCTGAAAAACGCAGAAATTGTCTAAAATTCGATTTTTTTTACATGGAATAAATACGGTTTCGTATCGAAAGTTACAATTTTTTCATTTGAAATTTGGATAAAACCGATTTCTTACAAATACGAATGATAAACAAAACCGAATACTTAATCGTAAATTAGCCCATTGACCCAAACTCTACCGACAACCAACCGACATAACACCAAAGTTGTTGACCTGCCAGATGCTAGTTAAGAAAGAATTCCAAAAATCAATATTTGCAATATGTGTATGTATTTCATTTAATTAAATTTTAACTTTTCAAACCTTCCAAGTCATTCTGTAATTTGTTTTTTTTTAAATTTTATTAATTAATTAATTAATTAATTAATTAATTAATTAATTAATTCATTCATTCATTCATTCATTCATTCATTCATTCATTCATTCATTCATTCATTCATTCATTCATTCATTCATTCATTCATTCATTCATTCATTCATTCATTCATTCATTCATCCATTCATTCATCCATCCATCCATTCATTCATTCATTTCTAAATTTTTCTGACCAATTATTCATTCATTCATTCTATCGTTTATTCTAGGGGTGGGCCAACTACGGCCTGCGGTAGCGGAGCTATTTTATGCACCAAAAAAAAAGAAAAAAAAGCCACAAACCTTAAAAAATTTTTCCCCGGGTCGAAAAAATTTGCTATTTAAGTACATATGCGGCCCTTCGAAGTAAAAATAGTTCTCAATGCGGCCCTCACAGCAAAAAGTTTGCCCACCCCTGGTTTATTCATTCAAAAAGTTGGATTTAACAATTTAGTAAAAATATATTTCCTCGTTTATTTATTCAATTATTCTTTTTTTCATTTATTCATTCATGAACTTCTTCCTTCATTCATTCCTTCAGTCATTCATTCATTCATCCACCCATTAATTAATTAATTAATTCATTCTATTTTAAATAAATAATTAATTAAATTAGCATTATTAACGATGAAAATAACTGACAACACACACGCGCACACACGCACACACTCACACAAACACACACACCCTAAGTGAGCTTTAAAACCGAATGAAAAACTAGATAATTTCAAAGACAGATGAATGAGTGCATGACCGATTGAGGAAATGGATGAATGGACTTTGGATGAATGAATGAAGGAATGAATAAATGAGTTTATAAATGAATGAAGAAAAGAAGGAATGGATGAATGAATGAATTGATAGATGAATGAATGAATGATTGATTGAATGAATGAATGAATGAATACTGGTATGGATGAAAAGATGAATGGTTGGATGAGTATTTGAATAAATTTGGGAAAAGGAATAACTTGATGGATGGAGGGATGAGTGGATAGATAGATAGATGAATGAATGGATAAATAAATGGATGGTACGATAGAAAGAACAAACAAATAAATGAATGAATTTTATTTAAAATTATGTCGCCAACAACTTCTTCAAATATTGGAAGTGTGAGTCGTCGTTGTCGTTGTTATTGTTCTTCTTCTTATTATTATTTTTATTTTTATTATTCCAATTAATACTAGCATAGCCCCTCACCAAACAAATGAAGAAAAAAAACAACAACAACACAACAACAACAATATTAATAATAATAATTCTTATTCTTATTTTGTTTTCATACCAAATGTCTACTTGCCAAAAAATTCCTTGACGATGATGATGATGATGATGACGAAGACGACAACGGTGATGATGATGACGATGACGGTGATGATAATGATGATGGTAACAAGGGTGGTGATGGTGATGATGGCGGGAATAAAGTGGTAAAAATAGATAACCATTAAGTTTGTTTACGTTTATCAGGCTTAACTGCATCCTATATATATATATATATATATATGTATGTATATATATATATGTATATATATATATATGTGTGTGTGTGTGTGTCTGTGTTTTTATTTGTGTGTGTGTGTGTTATATATGTATATATTTTTACATGTATGTGTGTGTGTGTTTTTATTTGTGTGTTATATATATATATATATATATATATATATTTAAATATGTATGTGTGTGTGTGCACAAAATAGCTATTTTTATATATATGGTAAAACTTGAAATGTTTTGGGTCATTGATAAAATACCTTCTTACTATCTGTGTTTTAGTTCTTTGTTTGTGCACGTAAGTTTGTATTTATTTATCTATGTTTGTTAAAATGTGTTAATGTTAAATCAGAAATGTTTTTTTTTATTTAATTTATATTTATGTGTTTTTAATTTATTTACACATGAATAATGAATTTATGTCATAATTTATATTTAAATGGTCATTTGTCGTTCATTGTTAATGGGTGGTCATTTGAAATAAATTGTTTGGGGTAATGTATGTGTGAGGATTTTGATGTGGATTCTGTACTACTTGATCAGGTTAAATTTTAGTAAATTGTTTCATTTCGTCGTTATGTTACTTGCCCTGTTAGGTTAGTGCTTTGGTGGTCTGTAGGCACGTGCATCTTTTTGGCATTATTTATCGCCTTGTAACATTCATTATCATCGTATTTTATGTAAGGTTATCGCAATTATTATAACATTATCGAGACCGTCAAATAGTCACATCACATTATCATCATCACATCAACATTATACATCATCACATCAAAGAAATCAATCATCACATACATTTAATCGCAACTTTACAACAACAACAACAACAACTATTACCACAACAGCAGCAACAACAACAACAACGACACTACATCATCATTATCATCATCATCATCATCTAAATCACACCACGTAAATCACAACACCCCTTATCTACCCCTTCACGACAGATGTCACATTACACGTGGGCCCACATTGGGGACTGCTTCCTCAGTCTTTTCCTCTTCTGGCCGTCCATGGTCTGTTACTGGCGAGGTATATGGGATCTCTACTCTTACTACTTCAAACTTGACAGCGGTGAACCGTTCAATAGTTGGCTGATTACTTCGGTCGGGTCGGTTTTCATCTTCGCCTATGCCCTCTATCCACTAGTCGATAGGTCGGTTTTGCTGTTGTTTTCATTTTAACATTATCTTATCATCTTACTCTGGTAAAAACGTTAATTGGTTAAACGAATTAAAAAAAATGACTTTGATTGGGTTTGAACTAGGAGTTAAGCGTCAACCAAACAAGTTGGCAAGAAGAGATTGCACATGTGGTCAAGCTATTTTCACTGGCAGGCACTTGTTTCTTCTGCAATGAATGTACTCTTAATCAACAGTGATAAGGATGATGATGACGACGACGACGATGATGAACCATTACATTTGTTTATAATGACGATAGCGACGTTTGGTGGTAGCGTTTTCATTTAAATTGTGTGTAGTCAGGTTAGCAAAGACGGCTGAATTGGGCCAGATAAACCGCTGAATTATGACTTATTACTTCAAATACCGAAAATTCAGTCATTCGCTCGTTCATCGATTCATTAAGTTCTTCATTCATTCATTCGTTTTTCGTATGTTCATTCATTCATTTAGTTATTTGTTCGTTCGTTCGTTCGTTCGTTCATCCATCTATCTGTTTATTCATATTCATTCATTCTACACGTTTAGCTGTTAATCACATTAAATCGTTTAATAAATAATTTTTTTAATCAATTCATTCATTAAATTTTCATCAATCCATCAATTAATCAATCAATTAACTAATAAATAAATTAATCAATCAATCATTCATTCATTCATTCAATCATTCATTCATTCATTCATTCATTCAATCAAGCAATCATTCATTCTTTCATTCATTTATACAACGTTATAATTTTTTGGACCAAAGTTCTGCATTCCTCTACACGTCGTCGTCATTGTTATTACAACCCTAATATTAAAAATTTCAGTTGTTAGTTCAGAGCCCGTTATTCTCAAGTTTAATTGTATATAGATCGATCGTTTAATGCTAATGTTAATTTAATTATCTAGATCTGCTAGTCGATTTGTTTCTTGTTATCGTGTCGATAATGATGATGACGATGACGACGATGGTGGTGTTGATTACAATAATGATGCTAACAATGATGATGGTGAAGATGACGGTGTTGATGATGATGGTAGTTCACAAACAAACATCAAGCTTACTAATTTGTTTGATATTTTTCGCTATTATCGATATAGGATAACATCCGTCGTATCATCATCATCATCATCATTCTCCTCCTCCTCCTCCTCATCTTCTTCTTCATCATCATCGTCATCATTTTCTCTATCGTTATATCATCAAACATCGCCACCATCATCATTACTACCATCTTCCTCATCATCATCTTCTTCACCACCTTCTTCATCTTCATCATCATTTTCATCATCATCATCATCAAACATCACTATCATCATCATCATCATAATCGTGGTTAACATAATTATCCTCACAACCTAATAATCATTACAATCTAATCACTATCATCATCATCACCTCATCACATGATGACGTAATGTCAGCCTGAGGTCACATGAGGAAAAATTTTATAGTAAATGGATCTAGAAATCACACGCGTATTTACAACACTCTTCACCATCATCATCATCATTACTGTCATTTTAATCATCATCATCATCATAATCTTATTCATAATAATAACAATAATAATAATGATAATCATCATCACCATCATCAATATCATCATCATCATCACCACCACCACCACCACCATCAATATCATCATCACCATCATCATCATCAATATCATCATCATCATCTTAATCATCATCACAACAGATGCCTAGAAAAACGCGGCCGAAAAACCAGATGCCTGATAACAAGGATAACTTTGTACGTCGGGGGCATTTTCCTGATGGGGTACTGGAGGGGCGTATGGGGGCTGGCCGATTATTATCTTGAGGGCTTCGGATGGAAAGGTGGCATGATAGGGCTGGCATTCTGTTACTCGATACTTACGGTTCTTAAAACAAGTCGGACGGTTATTTTTCCGCCGTTCGTCGTCACCATGGATAGCAGGGATGGCGCGTTGATTCCTTCGACCAAGTTTAAAATTAAGGTTGGGGAGGAGTTTTTTTAGATTTATTAATTTATTTTATTTTTTATTAAATAGCGCCAAATCTATGAAATATTCTCTCTCTTTATTTTGAAAGTTTAATCTTTTTTAAATTCATCAAAACCAGTCAGTGAACTTTTGACATTTGTATAGCATGTCTCCTTTTTCCATTCTTGTAGCTCTTGAACTTTTTAGATTTCCAAAAGATCCGTCCTCTTCTTCTCATTCTTCCTATTGAAGGTGTCAGTCTATTCTATAAATCTCTACTTACTGCATCTATCAACGCTTCTTTTAATTTGTCTACTTTTGAATGTCTTGTTGTATCACTTAAGTCTTCTTCTCTATCTTTTTATACTGCTGTAACCTATCGACCTACTCCTTCTTCTCTTCATATATTTTTAGATAAATTTTACTCGCTCGCTGAATCTCTTTACTCTTTTTCTATTCCTTTCTATATCTCTGGTGAATTCAACTTACACTTCAATAATTTATCTTGCTCTTAAACTTGCTGCTTGTATAAAATTTTTATTGCAAGCAATACTTCTGTATTAATTTTAAAAGTTAATCGGTCGAACATTTTAACCTTTTAAATCTATATTCAGTAAAAATTTTGAACTTATAAGGGTCTATACTAAAAATCGCTAACTACGAAATGATAATTTTTTAATATTAATACCTCTAGCCAGAAAAAAATCTCCAAGCCCTGATCTTATACTTCCTGGATTCCTGCTTTACTCACTTCGTCATCATCACGTTGACCATCTGCAACTGGCGATCCATCCTAACTCTCATCCAATTCATTCCTTTATCCAAAGAGTATTCAGATTTTGTGTATCTCTCGGCTGGTTTTGCCGCGTCGTGCATTTTATTTTCTGCTGAAATTCCACTCGTTATTTTGGGAAACAAGCTGGTTGGAAGTTCTTTTGTGAGTGTTCCTCGGAGTAATGGTGCTGTCGCTGATGTAGATGGTGAAAATGTTTTGAAAGATGAGTGCGGTGATGCTGATAACAGTCTAAGTGCTGGTGAAACTTTAGGTTTACCAAATAATCGGACATCCGTATCGACAGAGCGGCAGCCAAATGAAATATTTTTTGTGAGTTCGTGTAATCAGATGAATGAGTCTGATGTTCAATCCAGTCAAACTTTTCAGCCGGGTCATCATGGACAACAACATGAGCAAGACGAACATCAACAACATCTACCACAACAACTAAATCATCAACAACAAAACCACCATCGTCATCATCATCCTATATTCCAAAGCTCAGATCCTTCAACCCACCGTCAATTATATTGCCAGCAACATCAGCAGCAGCAACAACATCCGCCAACAAACGCTACCACAGCAACTTCAACAGCAGCATCTAACGCAACAAGAAAAAACTCAAAGCCTCAAGTTTCCGTTCATTGGAAACTTCTAGCCTACGAAAACTCCATATACATGGTGGCATTCATTTCTGAGGCCTTACTATGGATCGGTGCCTGGAATGTAAACTCCTCCTACATCATACCAGATCAACAAATAGGCGGTTGGGTGAATCATCTAGTTGGCACTTTTATGCTAATTTTGTGTGGCATCATGAGCTATGGTGGAGCGTGTGGGTGTTGCGACGACAGTTCCATCTTGGCTGGCTGCTTGGATATGGTGGTTCCTACGAAATTTCATCACATCTACCCCATCAAATATTTGAGGACCATGTACGAAGATAGGATTAGGAGGAGGACGGCTCTTGTTCCTGTTCAGGTTTGTTTGGCTCTTCATTAGTTGGTTGGTGGGTTGGATGGTTGGTCAGCTAATAAGTAAGAAACGCTGGCGTTTGTTTTTTTGTTATTTTCAATTGATTAATTCACGCGTTGATTCATTTGCCCACCCATTAATTAATAAATTAATCAGTCAATTGTAATTAATTAATTAATTCAGATCGCAGCAACAGATCCCGGTGCGATACCAACATCACCTTCCACGGCCACCATGATGACGGTTGACGTGGAAATTTTTGTACAAAGCAACAGCAACGGTTGCGACAACAACAACAACAACAACGTCACCATCAACAAAAATAACCACAAAGTGATCAACAACAACATTTATAACAACAACAACGACGATAAGGAGGACAGCAATACCAGTAACGTTAATGTTGATAACATTAACAAGATCAACAGTGGCTCCAACAACAACAACAACAACAACAACAGACAAACCAATAAAAATCTCGCCTACATCCAACCAGCCATCAAAAACCTCCACACTAACCAGCCTCTTCACAACCAAAACTCCAAGACCAACACCTCATATTGTGATGATGACTGTGGTAATAATGATGATAATAATAGTGATATGATGTGTGGGTGTCCAGATGACTATCACGATGATGACGTTGATGATATCTACAGAACAGAATTTTAGTAACGGAATTAAAATTGTATATTATTTCATTATCGAAAATTCCGAAACTATTTCGATTTAAAGTGCTTTTTATATTATCGTCCGTAATGACCATATTGTATTAATAAACCGTATATGTAAAATAAAAATCTGATACTGTATCTATGTCCTCAACTGACCCAAAAAACATTAACACAAATTTCAAAATACTTTTATGTTGAGAATATAACGATATTTTTTTCTGTTTCAGTTCTTTGTCAATAGTATTTAAAAATTAGAATTTTTTTATCTAAATATTTCTTATATAAGATATCGCATGAAAACGGTTGTATCACAACTGGAGACATATATTTTAACATCGTCATAGGAAACTGAAAATTTTGAAAACAAAAATGAAAACAAAATTGATTACAGATATGCAGGTTGATAATAATTTTTTTTTCAAAAAGAAATTTAAAATGTTGTTTCAACTAGTCGGCTAAGATCTCAGAACCGACCAAATAGCCAGAGAACTGGAAGGCAGTACTAGACAGCAGGAGCGTCAAGGGGATCTGACATTTAGTAATAGATGGCGTTTCGTTGTTTTTATTATTCGTTCCATCGGCTTTACCATCCTTATTTCTATTATCATTCCCCGACTCACCAACATCAGGCATTGGATCATTTATCTTATCCCTAATCGTAGCGGCAGTCTTTGTTAAGGGTCTTTTATCATCCTCGCTGATTGGCTCTAAAAATATGCAGTTACCTAAAAGAGTGCCGGCAATTACAGATATTTTAAACGAATCGCAAACGTCCTCTTTTGGAATCTTTTCTGGTTGAAGTTGGGCTTTATGTTTTTGGCATTCCGAAAAATTCAAGTTTAAAATAGGCTGTTCATTGGCTGATCTCAATCGAACAATACTCCTGCCCTTATCTAACCAGCGTTTGGAAGAAACTTTTTGAAAGGCCTTGAATGGACTAATCAAAATCTCTTCCTCTGACGGATGATACGACGAATTGAGAAATGTCACGGCTGGAATAGACGAACTTTCATTTTCAATATATATCAAGCTTACATTCCCTGGCAGAAATCATTTCAAATGTTTTCGTTAGCAAATTATCACTCTTTTCACGAACAAACGCGCACGCAAACCCACGCGCGCACACTCACACACACACTGAAGAATTTATTTTTCAGAAACCTCTTTCTTCAGCACTTTTAACATCGTAATATGCCGAAGTGAACTCTCTGAAGAAAACAATCTTAGAGGATGGCGGGTCAATATTCACATTATAACCTAAAATAATCCAAAAATATTCAACGCTTTAGGAATATTAATAATAGATAGTTGAATTTGCCTTGCTAGCTACCAGCCAACCCATCAACCTACCCTTGTACCAGGTCGCTTGGTAGTTGACAGCGTAGACATTACTGGACTTCATCTTATTGATGGCTGACCAGAGGACGGATACATAGTTTCTGTATGGCTCGTAAAATCCTGCGCGAAGAAATTTTATCAGTTCTGTTGTTTATTTTAATAAAACACACACACACACACACAAAAGATTTTACTTATAGAGTTCATAATTGCACTATATTTAACAGAAAGCATTTTGTTAAAAAATGTGTTTAGCGTGTAAACATTATTCTCGGATAGCCCTAATATGCAAAAGTTTATTTTAAAAAATATGAATTAAACATGAGAATTGAACTACAACATTTGACATAAACCTTTAACATACACATACAAATTGAGCTATGACGCATGACTTGAACGTTTGTGACATAATATTGCATTTTAGCTGCTACAGATTTCACTTTATCAGAACTCCGCCCAGTTACTTCTCAATTTAATTATACTATCTCACCTTCTAGAAATGTAATAATTATGGATGGTAATAATGAAATACATGATTAGTTAGTTAATGGAATAACTTTAACATCAGTCCACTGCTGATTACATACCTTTTCTAAGATTGCATTGGAAATTTTTGGTAAATGGTTTAGTGTACATGCCCACGGCTATGCACTCATTCTTGCTTAGAGGGCTCTCCGGATCTGGATCTTTGCACTGTTACAATAACCCGCCACGCCACAACATGTGTGATGGTGTATTATGATATTATGATCATTAGATACGATTTCAAAGTATTATAATTAAAAAAATCAAAATCATAAATCAAATCGTTGCTTATAATAATGCTAATAACACACACACACACACATATATATATAAACAGAAAAAATAAATAAATGAATAAATAAATATACTTATAATACATATATATATATATATATATATATATATATATATTATATATACATATATACAATGAAAAATTTAAAAGCATTACAGTGAATCTTTTTCTTTCATAATCACTTGCAACCTCTGTGAATGCAGTGCACATTTTGTGGGCTTGACACTCCTGGGTTGCAAACATTTTTTTCTTATTTTTTCCATATTAAAAATAATTGTCTAATAAATAAATAAATAAAATTATTGAATTGAGATGCTGATAATAAATTATAATAAAACATCTTAAATTAAAAAATGAATTATAGTTAACAGGGCTATGACGTCTCGAGGCAACATCTCATCTCGAGATGAGCTTATTTATACGGTCTTGACCTTGCCTCGAGACCTTAAAATGTTAGTCTCGACTTAATCTCGTTTTAAAACAATGTCAGTCTTGGTCTTGTTTTTTTTTACTGTCTTGAAAACAAGACACAAAAAGGAAATTATATGTTATACCTACAAAGTTTTAAACCATTTAAACCATTTTTGGTAAGTTCCCTGGGGTATGTGACAGGAGAGTGAAGGCTAATTCGGTATTGTGTATAGGGTGTCAGAAGTCGGTGCATAAGAGATGCAGTGGTGTGAGGGGGCACTGGAAAAAGAGAAAGGCACGTTCAAATGTAAGAAATGTGTTTACGGTGTGATTAATAGGACGGACGCAAGGACGGGGTTGAGTGATGGTATTGAAAGAGTGGAAAGCTTTGTTTACTTAGGGGATAAGCTGAACGCGGATGGAGGATGTTTGAGCGCTGTTACGGCTAGAGTTCGTGTGGGATGGATGAAATTTAGGGAACTGGGTGGGGTATTGTGTGGAAAGAAATGGTCAGTGAAGATGAAAGGAGGGGGGTATATAAAGCATGTGTGAGAGCAGCGATGGTATATGGTGGTGAAACTTGGGTGTTGAGGAGAGAGGAGGAAAGTGTACTGCAGAGGGCTGAAAGAGCTATGGTTAGGCTGAAAGAGCTATGGTGAAAATGATGTGTGGGGTTAAAGTGTAGTAAAGGATAGGAGGAGTAGTACAGAGCTGGTAATGGTAATTTGAAAGTAATTATGACATAGTCAAGATAATCAACCAGAAGGTCCAAACGAAACCACTGTAATTCTCCGCGCTTCATATCATTTTGCACATCTACAACATGTTCTTTGGTTAATATTCACTTGTAAACAAATAAATAATGTTCAATGTGTACATGTGTATATACAAATATACACAAACATACGCAGAAAAACACACACACAACACACACACACACACACACATATATATATATATATATATATATATATATATATATATATATATATATATATATAAATATATATATTTATTTATTTATTAATAAATATTAGTTCAAACTTAGGTGACGAAAATTCAGTTCAAATCTGACTTCTTTAAAAATTCTCAATGATTTTTTACAAATTTTGATTTCTTAGTCTCATTTTTGTTTTGAATTTCATATCTTGTCCTTGGATGTGACGTCTCGAGACATGTTCTTTGAACGAAAGTCTTGTCTCGGTCCTGTCTTGAGCTCTCAATGTCATTGTCTTGTCTTTAAAAAACACTGTCTTGTCACAGCGCTGATGATAACTAATAAATCACTAATAAATCAGTAATTAATTAGATATAAAAAATGAATAAGGCAGGAATCGCTCTGCATTCAAATCCCATTACTGCAGCATTAGTGCCAGGCACATTAACAATTACACACTATCGCGCCAAAGTGGATGTCACTATGATGGAGAATAAAATGATACCTGTGACATTCCCTTGAGCCTTTGATTTACTTCATTTTCACACGATTCCCTTTTCAAGAAATTGATGTCATTCTCTTCCATGTCGGCCGCATCTATTCCGTACCTGATGTGACAGTACCAGCCTTTCAGCTTGTCCATTTCGCTTTTACTGTTTCCATATAAAATGTCATCGATAGGTTTTTTCTGAAACCAAAGTCTTTTATTTTTTCCCTTAGAAATTTTGGGGTATTCGTCAGATATCAGTAAAGTACCAGCAGTATGAATGTTAACTTTTTTTTCACTTTTAACTTTGTTACGTTTATTTCCGCTAATATTTTCGCTATCAAACATCGCGAATCGAATGATTATCAAGAGAAACCAGAGAACCTTCATTCTGTCAATATTTTAAACTATAGTGATAATTGTTATAATAATTTTTTATGATAACGTGTAATAAAAAATACAGAATTAAAGAAACAAATTTATAATGCACAAATTCATACGAAAATTTAAAAATCGACGGTTGAGCGCGCGCTAGCGAAAATACGTAATGAAAACCTGAGAATAAATATTTTATTGAAATAAAAAAATATTTAATTTATTCTATATGTATGTGTTGCTAAACTGTTAAAATTTAAAAAATTTTGTACATGTGTATAAAATTTTATTCTTTATATAAGATATGAAGCTTATACCATGGAATTATATAAAATAATATATTTTATATAAGTATATTTTATAAGTATATAATTATATACTTAAAATATGCAGAACCTGAAAAGAAAATTTTGAAATCCGGGTCTTCTATTCCAAAATAGCAGTATCTTTATTCTTTGCGATTATCAGCGTAGTAGAGTTTTTCATCTGAATTGTTGTAGGCTACTGGCGTGCCGACACGGATAGGCCACGGATATAATGGATATAATATAATTATCTCAAGTTAGCAATATTTTTTGTTATCCATATTCACATTGAATACTTAATGACGTAAAAGCTTTTCTGTTAAGTGTCAGCATTAAGTTCAGCTGCTACATCAAAAATTCCTTATCTGCTAACACTTCATATTTGCTTAATGACCAACCCAAATATAGCAAGTAAAAATAATAACATACTTTTTACTTAATAAGATTAGTAACCTTAAAAAATGATGATCGGTTAATTGAAGACATCATTTCTAAGTATGAGAAAGTCATACATCAAATAATAAATAATATTATATTATAATAATAATATAATAATAATATTAAACTAATGCTATAAAAGTATACTAAATACTTTACTTTAGAGAAATGAAAATATGAAAACATGGAACTTGAAACAAATAAATTTACTATCTTTGCCATTCTGGGATTTCAGTGGAAAACCCAAGTTTCCTCGAAAACCAGTATAGACTATAAAATAAATACAAAAATACAAATAAAAATAAATAAATATATATAATGTCGAAAACCGAAAGCGATTATAATTTACAATTTGATTTTGTAGATGACTACGAACTGAGGAAAAGGAATTTACAAAATTTTCGTGAGTTTTGCTGTCGTTTTCTGAGCTTATTTGTGATTTTCTGCTTTTTATAATCAATGTTATATATTTTTATATGTAAGCCTTAGTCCTTAATTGACACTTTAACACTTATCACTCTTTTTTTAACAGTAACTTAATTTAAGCCTAACCCTGATCTAAAGGGAAAATCTTAAGTCTTATATTAATAATTAATTATTTATTAAGTCTTCAAATTTATTTAATAAATAATTTTAAATAATACTTTAATACACACTTTTATAAATACTTTTGATATAATTTTAATTTTATTATTCATTCAGTTAATATAGAAGATATTCTACTATTATTGATGTAATTATATATATAATTATAATATATATATATATATATATATATATATATATATATTTATAACTATCTATATCAAGTCTCTTCCAAACACAAACGGACAGACACAAACTCAAACCTACTAAGAAAAATATTTTAGCCACCACTAACCTGTTGTAACATTTACCCCATTATTGAAATTGTCCTCTTTGGTTGTAATTACTAACTAATTTTAGTTAATTAGATTAATTTTTAAATTAAATTTGAATAAAATGGTTATTTAATATTGGCCTTCCCTAGCTTCAGCTCATGATTTGCCATCAAAAAACAAAAATAATATTAATCTTGGATTGCATTCAGATCGTTAGTGAAATCTTTTCCATATTTTTTCACTTCTTAAATTATATTAAATTTATGAAATCATATTAAATGAACAAATACAATATATAAACAAACAAACAATAACAAACATACAAAAATATACATACAAACTACAAAGCAAACTTTCATTTCATTGTTTCTGTTTTATTGGTTTCCATTAAAATTATATTAAATGTAATGTATTATAGCCTTAGTTAAATAAACGAACAAACAAACAAACAAACAAAAAAATGAACAAACAAACAAAAACTAAACAGTTGAAACATCACCTATAATGAGTAACCTGAAGTTAAGTGAAGATGGGAATGATAGTTACTTAGATATCGATGGGGGTTGTCATGGAAAATTGATATACCAGGGTTAGGTTATATCAATTTTTTTTGTAACCACATAGATGTCGCTGACTACGATGATACTGTTGATGATGGTAGTATTTATGATAATTATTATGATAATTATGATCATAATTATTATCATAATTTTGAAATATTTCTCAATTAAAACACAATAAATATTTAGCTGCTCGAGGCCAAGTAGTCATCAATCAACAATCTTTGCCTGTTGATATACAAGGTAGCTTGGAAATTTTTTTAGCAATAAAAATAATAATATTATTAAAATAATAATAATAATAATATTATTATTATTATTAAAATAATAATAATCACCAAGACTATTTTGAATAAATTTTCGAACAAATAGATAACTATATATAAACTTTGGTAATAAATAAATAACTTTAAATTAACTAACTTTAAAATAACTCTAACTCCCAAAATCTCTACGCTACAGTGTTAATGTCAATAGAATTCTCTTCCATCATAGATTCAGCTTTGAGATCTTCATTAATGTCAGGAACATCAACATCATCAACAACAACAACATCAACAACATCAACATCAACAACGACATCAACATCATCAACAACAACAACGACATCAACACCATCAACTATAGTTGTCAATACATGCGGAAACAACAATATAGTCCAGGTTTTTTCTCAGCCCCAGCAAATGCCAATCATTCCTAATCACTCTAAATTTTCCACGAACGACACCTACGTCAACGGTGCGAACATCCCTTCCGGACTTCCTCCCAAGCAATTTCATTCAACTTTTAAAAACGAGAAAGATTTTCAAACTGCCAATACTACCCAGAAAGTGAAAAAAATTATCAATGGTAATGATGATGATGATGATGGTGGTGATGAAGATGATGGTGATGATGATAATGATGATGATGGTGATGATGATGGTACGCTTGATTTTAAGTTATTTAAATTACTCAATGATTTCATCGCCACCGCCATCAACATATTCCAATCATTCCGCACATCCCGCCAGCACCATTCTACACCATTCGCTGAAATCATTATTGACTTTTTTTTATAACTTTTTCAAACAACTCAAAACAATCTCAGTGCCTACTGGGACAGTTACAGAGTGGGTCTGCCACAAGGTATCTCAGAATGTCTCCCCACAGAAATGGAAGACCCTGGCCAGAGAGTTGAAACTGAAGCAGAATAAAATTGATGAAATCGAGATGGATAACATGGAACAATCTGTAGAAGCTTTTTACCAGATGTTACTTGCCTGGCGGGAATCTAGGGGGAGCGGGGCAACGTTTGAGGCTCTGGGCAGGGCGTTATTGAAGTGCAATGAAGCCCCTGTCGTCAAAAAGCTTGCCGAGTTTAAATCTTTTGAATGAAGAGATTGATTGTGTGTTTTTGCTTGCGAGCGTGTTTGTGTGTGTGCGTGTGTATGTATATATGTGTGTGTGTGTGTGTGGGTGTGGGTGTGTGTGTGTGTGTGTGTGTGGGTGTTTGTGTTCGTGTCTGTGTGTGTGTTTTAATTAGTCTCTCACTGTTTAGGTCAGCCGTATTTAAACGAAAGAGACATTTATTTTTAATTCTGACGTCATTTTAAACAAAGACATTTTATTAATCACTCACTGTTCATACCAAATGAATGAAAATAAATAATATTAACAAAAGAAAGCATTCTATATACAAAATTTGAAAATAGTAAAGGCAGGTTTGGTTTTTGCAACAGTTTTTTAAATTTCTTGGTGGTTGACATCGTCGCAGATGTGACGTCACCAGGGCCTCCATACATTGCTATTGTTGTTGTTGTTGTTGTTGATGACATCATTGTTGACGTCATAGTTGTTAATGTCGTTGCTTTTGATGATGACTCTGTTGTTGGTGTTACTTCCGTCAGCTCCAACGTTTGCACTGTTCAGATAAATAGTCGACAGAGGCATGCGTTTGTTTACTAGGCCGTTGTTATGTTGCTGATACGTTGTTGATGAGGATGACGTCATTTTATTATTATTGCTATTATTGTTGTTGTAATTGTTTGTTGAGTGTTTTTTACTGTAGGGTGTTGATGTTTTGTTGGAGAATAATTTTCGGCAATGTTTACGCGTCGATCTGTGTACTCTGCTCTCTGGTTGTAAATTTTCCTGATTGCTACTCTTCAAGTTGATGTTGTTTTTGTTGTTGTTGTCATTGATATTGTCGTTGTTGTAATTGTTGTTGTTTACGGTGTTAATATTGTTGGTGTAAATGTTGTCGTTGTTGTTGTTTGAGTTGATGTTATCATTGTCGTAGCCTGCGTTGTTATTATTGTTGATGTTATTGTTGTTGATGTTAATGTTGTTGTTGTGTTTGATGTTGTTGCTTAGCGACGTGAGAATTGTTGTTTTGGTGGGTGTGTTGATTTGTTGCAAGCCTCTTAGAGCGTTCTGAACTTCTGTCATGCATGCCATATAGCCATTTTTGAATTCATCATTTGTGTTGTTGTTATTGTTGTTATTATTGTTGTTGTTGCTGTTGTTGTTGATGTTGTTGTTGCAGTTGTTGAGGTCGTAGTCTTTTTTTAAACAACTGCTTTTTTGAATTTTGTTCATTTCTGCAAAAAAATAATTTTATAAATGTTATTTTTTATTTATATTATTTTTTTTTGTATTTTTATTATTGTAGAATTGATAAAATTATTTATATGGTTTGTTTGCATATTACAAATCTATACAAAACTCGTTTTCTTAATTGTTTTGTTATAATTAATAATAATAATATTAATAATAAATCATAATTAATAATAATAATAGTTACAAACCTGAATTTCTCATGAGTTGTCTTAACGTTTTAACAGTAAGTTCCAGGATATCTGCCTTCTCTAACTTCGATTGATTCTGCAAAATATAAGAAAATTAATTAATTAATTTTAATTTTAATTAAATATTCAAAAACAACAGCTATAATAATAGCAATAATAATAGTATAAATATAAAGGATTAAGATCAAAGCATTGATTATAAATACAAGTTAAGTAGTTAGTTATTAAAAGTATGGAGCCAGGCAGTAACTAAATTACAAACAAACCAAGTTCACGTAACTTGAGGTAATCCCTCAAATCACCGTCATATAAACATGTTTGCATTTGCATAAAATTTTATCTGATTATTTCTCGGTTGGTACTTGGACACACACACACTACACACACAGAGACTTACACAAATGGTATGTACTACGTACAAGCACACACACACACATACACACAAGTGAACACGCAAATGCATCCAAGAAATTTTATGATGACAATATGACAAAGCTGTTGAATTTGAAAGAAAATATTGTGCAACGAAAGCAAATACTACAACTACTACATTTACTACTACTACTACTACTACTACTACTACTGTTTTTATTATTATTGTTGTTGTTGTTATTATTATTACTACTACTGTTGCTACTAATACTGCTTCTGCTGCTACTACTACTACTACCATTTAAACTGCTGCTGATGTAGTAACATCAAATTTTAAGCTAATAAATATGACAGATGGATGGATGGATGAATGGATATCCAATCCAAACAACTCGCTCTACAGCTGCGTGATACGTAAGATTAACGAGCAATTAAATTGCATAATAATAATAATAATAAAAATAATAATAATAATAGTAAGAATAAAAAATAGCCACCGGGATATTGTTTGGATAATGGCGTGTGCAGTTGCGTCATTGAACATAGCAGAGGAGAGGATTCGCGACTTTAAAGATACAGACACACATCCGTTGAAGACGCGTGTGTGTGTGTGCGTGTGTGTGTATCAATGTGTGTGAGTGTGTGTGTGCGTGTGTGTGTCTGTGTGCATGTGTCTGTGTGTGCATGTGTGTCTGTGTGTGTCTGTGTGTGTGTGTGTACACTAATTAATTAATAAATTAAATGGGGAACACAAACAAAATGATAAAGGATACAAACCGTAAAACGAACAAGAAATGCAATACAAAACATACACGATACTAAAAATGATGACCTGTACAGCAAACGCAAACAAACATACAAACACACACGTACATACACACACGTGCACACGCACATACATACACACATGTGCACACCCACACACAAACACACATTCACACGCACACATGCACATTACAATGGAATGATTGCGGGCATAAACATCATTATCAATCTTCAAAGGAAAGGTAACTGACTGATTAATAAGTGTGTGCGCCTCTTTGTATGTGTGCGTGTGCGAGTATGTCTGTGTGTGTACGTGTGAATGTGGGTTTGTGTGTGTGTGTGCATGTGTGCGTGTGTGTGTTGTATGTGTGTGTGTGTGTTGTTACGCAAAAAATGTGATTTTGTTAGTAACATTAAAGCTAAATAAACGTTAAAACTTACGTCAATAATGATGTGATTCTCCTCCGTTGTATCTTCATCATCATCTTCCATTGGCACGTCTAGCGGTGATGATGATGACATCATCACTGTTGCTACCGACGACGATGACGTCATCGCTGATGACGACGACGATGATGATGATGCAATCGACTGATCGGTTTTTAATGATGCGTGACGACTGTTTGGTTGTGAGGCTGATGATGACGCTGCAGCTGATAATGATGACGATGATGAGGAAAATGAGTGTTGGATGAGTAAATTCTTCAGTTCATCCAAGCATCCATTTATCCTCTCCCTTCTCTTTCTCTCCACTATTGGCTTGTTTATCTGATGAGTTTGTAACATAGGTTATATAAAATATAGCAACATGTGTGCGCGTGCGCTTTTGTGTGTGTTTTTGTGCGTGTGTGTTTGTGTGTGTGTTGTTTAGGTATGTGTGTGTACGTGCATGTGTGTGTACGTGCGTGTGTGTTGTTTAGGTACGTGTGTGTGTGGGTTGTTTAAATGTGCGTGTGCGTGTTTAAAAAAATGTTAATTAGTTACTAAAAATAATCCGTGTAGTAGTCACGTGTTTAATTAATAATTAACTGGCGATCATTTTCAGTTTGTGAATATCATCTAACCTTTCTGAATTCAGCAGCGGACATGCTGATGTAGTTGCGACTGTGGATAGTGTTGTCGTTGTGGCTACTACTGGTTGTTGTATACCTCCTGTTAACTTTCATGTTGTTGTTGTTGGAAGTGTTACTGTTGTTGTTGTTGGTGGTGGTAATGTTACTGATGTTTGGATTTCTAAAATTGTTGTGGTGATTGTTGTAGAGGTTGTTGGCGATGTTCCCATATGCGATCAGTTGCTGTCTTTGGCTCTCCATATCGACAATTACAAGCGTGTAAATTCACTTTTAAACAGGAGAAACGACTTTTTTAAACTTTTAAATATGTGTCCTAATTTTTCAAAAGTTTTATTTATTTCTATTTATTGTTGAACGCTGGTCAACAAGTGGTCAAGCAACACTACTTATTTAACTCCGATCACTATTCTTCTAACGATACTTCAGTATTTCTCACTAATATTTTTTTCTCTATTGCAAATAATTTTTAAAATTATTCAATGAATATCGAGGAAAAAATTGTTATAAAATCTGATTTTGAATTTACCAACTGTTTTAAAAATCAGAAACCCCAGAGCGCTTATATACCCAGCTGATCAAATGAAAGCTAAAGAGCGAGATAGCAATAAAAGTGAGACAAAGAGAGATCGATCCGAGCAGTGTAAGAGGTTCCTTTAATAAAAGTAAGCCGTCCAATAAAAAACAACGGTCCATCCAATAACGGGATGTGAGATAAAGAGGAGGAGAGAGTGAGTGGAAAGAAAGAGAAAGAAAGATAGATAGAGAGAGAGAGATTAGTTGTGTGTTGCACAATTTCGGTACACATGTTTGGTATGCGTGTGCAAGGAAGTACGTGAATGTAAGCACGTGTGCATGTATATGTTGTGTGTGTAGTGTATGTGTATATATGTGGAGTGTGTGTTTGCGTGTTGTGTGTGTGTATATATATATATATATATATATATATATGTGTGTGTGTGTGTGTATGTGTGTGTGTATGTATTAATCATACAAAAATATTAATTTTTTGATAATACTACTACTACTGCTAGTACTACTACTACTGCTACTGCTGCTGCTACTATAACTACTACTAACACCATTACCACTACTACTACTACCACCACTACTACTACTGATGCTGCTGCTGCTACTGCAACTACTACATCTTTATTACTTAACCATTTAATAAAATTTTCAATAATACTAACATTTATCAATAAATCAGTAATTGAGTGATTATACACGATCGATGAATATAACAGTATCTATAATAACTTTCACTAACATGCTGTAATAAAAAATATAACTGTAATAATAATAATTATTATTATTATTATTATAGTTAATTGTTATTATGATAATTAGTAGTTAGTTGTAATAAAGAGTAATATTTTCAAGTAGCAAAGTGAATTTACTAGCAAAGTTTTATTACAGGTAAACTACGTAGCGTAACTATTAGCGTGTGTCTCTGTGTTACAAAGAAGGCACGCGAGCAGTAATGTCTGTCTTGTAATAAAAATTAAAAATTTATGACGTTTTAAACTATTGAAAACAACAACAACAACAACATCATCATCATCATCAACACTAACAACAACATCATCATCATCATCAACACTAACAACAACATCATCATCATCAACACTAACAACAACATCATCATCATCATCAACACTAACAACAACATCATCATCATCAACACTAACAACAACATCATCATCAACACTAACAACAACATCATCAACATCATCATCAACACTAACAACAACATCATCATCATCATCAACACTAACAACAACATCATCATCAACAACATCATCATCAACATTTTTTTTTCCAAAATTTTATTGACATCAAAGGCAATCAAGAAGTTATAATGGAAACTTGTGCTAATTACCTTAAAACTGAGAGGCGAGATGTTCAATAATTGTCGAATTAAGCAATAAATCAAAATGTTATTTTTAACAGAAATAAAATATCATAATCAATATCAACACCAACAACAACGTCATCATCATCAATAATAAAATATAATATTGGCAACATTAATAACAATAATAGTAACGTCACTACTACTAGTACTACTGATACTTCTGCTTCTTCTACTATTTATATTACTAATATTGTTAAACTAGTACTACTGATACTAGTAATAATACTTTTAATGTTGTTGCTGCAGCCGCTACTCTAGCTACTGCTACTACCACATATAATTAGCGACAACAACGACAACAACAACCGACGACAACATCAACAACGACGATAGCGCTAATGATTACTTTGACAAACGGACGAGTGAAGCGTTTGAAGGATAGGCGGCAACATTAAATTGTTCAACAACAACAACAACAACATCATCATCATCATCAACAACATCATCAACAACAACAACATTATCATCATCAACAACGTCATCTTCATCAGCATCATCATCAACAACATCAACAACAACATCATCAACTATAACAACATCATCATCATCAACAACATCAACAACAAAAATAACAACAGAGAGAAATAATAATAAGAATCTTAAGACCGCCAACAAAAAAACAAGAGGAATGATGTGATGGAATCGTTCGGCACATTCACTCATTCATTACTTATGCCTCATTAAACTTGTATACAGACACACGCACGCACACACACGCACACACACACGCGCACACACACAAATACAACTAACACAGATACCCATACAAATGAACATACATGCGAACATACAAATACACACATACACATACGAAAGTATACAAACATACCTACCCAAATTTAAACATGTGGTTATGGCAAGCATACTTTGAATACAAATTTGAAAATTTTTCAAAACAAATATCTCAAACAAACATATTATTAAATAAATTGTTACGTAACACACACACACCAAAACACACATAGAAACAAACACACACGCATACTCACAGACGCACACACAGACACACGCACACAAACCAACATATTATCACGTACAATTTTATGCATGTTACACATGTTACAGCACGATTAACGTATGACAATTATTCCATTTATTTTTTGCTTCACCATGATTAACACGAACCATATTTAGTTAGCAAGATTCAATCATTAAAGTGAAATTAAGACTTAATCTAGCCAAATTAGTCTAATTAAATTACTCCAATCAAAATTAATCCAAACATAAGGAATCACAATCCTTATAAACAATTAAACACATATACATATAAAAACAAATAAACCAATACACAAACATGCAACACAT